ACCCAAAAATTATATAAAAATCGATGAGTTTGTAGAAATGTGTAGCGTTCGTTGTGTGCGTTTGTGTGTGTGTTTGTGATCAGCAGAAGTAGAAGCAGCAGCCACCACATAATATGTGAAATTTGTAGTATTCCGCGTAGCATACACACAGCGGGCTCAATACATGCTCAACATATCATACGCAATGACGAACAGATCGTCAAACGGACTCGCATATGTACGTGCGACTCTCTGCATAGCTCACAATAGTGGTGGCCGCGTATGTATGTGTGTGTGTGCGTACCTCACTCTGTGTATGTGCGTAAAACAGTATTTGTACGCTCATCGCCTGTTCAAAAACTGATGTGCAAGAAGAGTGTATTTTCCTTTTGTTTCATTTCCATTCTCACTCTCATGCTCTCCGTCTATACAAATGTCTACACACATATATATAAAATGGTAGAAGGCAATGCCCTTTGCTGTTCTGCTTCGTTATTTAACTCGGTGTTTTCTAGGCCATTTCGTTGGCCGTGAAAAATTCACCATCCAATGCATGAATTTCTCTCTTCTACTATATCATCATCGTTGTCGGTTGTGTGTTAGCCGCTCTCTGCTGCTGCTGCCGCTGCTGCCGTAATCGGTCTCGGCGTACAATGCTCTTTCTCTCACTGCCGAATTGCGGAACACACACCAAACAAAAAAAATGTGATATGTACTGAAATGTGTTTTCTTCTTCTTTTTCGTTTCTGATAAGGCGAAACCCACAAAGACTCCAAAAATGAAATGTATACTTTGTTATTTGTTTCCTTCTCTTTCTCTCTCTCCCTTTAATTCGGGTGCCGTTGACTCCCGAAATAGAGATTACGTTCAAATTCAGAATGAGAAGGCAAAAAAATGTGCTGCGTTTATTTTGGTGGCAATCACCTCTGTGCCGTGTGAGGCGTCGTCATCACCATCAGCAACAGAGCAACATCAAAAATAATCTCGATTCAACGATAACAATTTATCTTTTCTAACTTTTTTTCTGCTTGATCTTCTTTAAATTTTCCTCTTTTTCTCGCACTCAATTCTCGCCAAATCCTAAATTTAATTAATCGCTGCCTTTCGCTTTCTGAATTTAAATGGATGCATTTAAAATATGTACGAATAAAAAAGAGAATAAATAAACATAATAATCGCAAGATGTGATTTTCTGGCTGGGGTTTCTGCCGAGAAGATTTAAAGTGACATTGTCCTTGAATAAATTTATAGTGTTGCTGTTGTTCGTGTGTGGATGCTTTTCAATTGAATCGCGTATGATTCGAGAAAAGCTCCAACGTAACCACTTTCTTCCATTTTCTACTTCTCTTGCTCTCTCTTGCTTACTTGCCGTTCGTCTATAGGCGAATGAACTTGCGTGAACCCACTCTCACACTTGCGTACGTTTCGTTTCCGAACAATAGCATTCCACTGTCTCTCTAAACATATTCACGCACTCACGACGGCCACTCTCGGCCATAGCACCGTGTGTGTGCTCTCTCTGCTCCCTCTCTCTCTCACTCTCGCGCCTCGACTGCGGACACTAGTTTGTGGTCAATTTTTTCAATTTGGCCTGTGCTTTCTTCTAAAAAAAGAATCAATTCTATTTTTGATGATGCAGACGCACAATTGTGACTAAGAGAGAGAGAGAGAGAGAGAGAGAGAGAGAGAAGAAAATTGCACCAATTCTGACAAGCAATTCAAATAAATCCCAAGAAATGCATTGCAATAACACCAATGACACCGAAATGGTTTTGGCCTTCTTAATATTTTATTAAATTTCACAGAACAGACACTCGAAAACAGACGAGAAGAAAGAAAAAAAAAACAAAACACACAATTATTTTAAGGCGAACGGTGTTTTGTCTTGGCCCTAACTGCATCACAACGAACGCTACACGCCGCAATCATAAATTCACGCCAAACTATGGCGCACTCGTAATTCTGTCCGCGAAATAATAAATGTTCGAAAATTATTTTAAGCACATTGATATGACTAATATGTCGTAATGAGAACGCGAAACGCGCACAATTTACATTTCTTTCAACAAATCGAGTAGTTTTTTTTTCATACGCTATCTGCTTTCACCGCTGATTAATTTTTATATGTATATTATTCCTATTCGATGAAAGAATTTGGCTATTATCGACAAATTGTTCAAGTGGATTTCGTAATTCTAAAGCAACTTTTGCATCTTAACAACGATTTACTTTCTCGTTGTGAATTGTTGAAAATTTGCTCGGAAAAATTCATAATTTACACTCGTATACGTTAAAAGTCTCAACTTTGAATACACTTCTCTCATTCGCTGTCGTTTGCCTACAGTTCAATTAATAATTAACATTCATCACTTTATGTATGCTCAATTCGCCGATTGTTAATATTATTATGAAAATGAAATTTGCAAAATGCCATTGTGTTGCCCATGAAATAGCAAGCGTATCAAATGAAATGAGTAGAAATTTCGACCAAAGTCAGCAAAAAATTGCAAACAATTGATGAAAATTTTCTAAATACACGAAATCAACACATTATTACGACCTTTCCGATCGACGACAATGTCGATGAAGCACAACGATTAATTATTAGGTGCTTGCTGGCTCGTACACATATAAGTATATAAAATCGACGTCACTACAATCAACTGAACAACGAAATACCCAGAAAAATAAGACATTCCATTAACAATGACGAAAAAAATGCACCAAATTTTCATCGAGTTCATTTAACGACAAATTTAACGTTCAATTGAACTTACACTGTCAATCGTAATATATAAATAATATCGACGTAATTTTTTTTCGTTTCTTTCTTTCGATAATGGCAGATTGGTTTCTATTTTCAGAATTCTGATGTTTTTTTTGTCTTCAATTTTTTTTTTGGATAGAAATGTAACACTTCGGCAAAAATTGGTTTTAATCGGTCGTTTTGACAATGGTTGCGTCGTTTGTATTGAATTCGAGACCAACCATTGTTTTGAATCAACTAACGTTTGGTGTATGTTTAGCAACGGTACCAGCGGCAATGAACGACTCACAATTCTTTCCTCTTTGCTCTCGCGGTTGCTGCTCTCGCTTGTTGTTGTATTTTATTTTATTTTTTTCCTTTTTCATTCGTTTTCTTCGGTTTCAGAGCATTCGGCTGTATTTTCCGCTCTCTGTAATACTAAAAATTCATATGATAACATGCGCGCACGAGAGAGCGAACGAGCGAGTGAACGAGCGAACGAGAGATTGTCTTTGGGAATAACGAAAAATAAAAAAATCCTCAACATTTTAGTAGCAAACAACAACAACAACAACAATAATAATAATACCAAAAACACCGAATACCAAGCGTACACACTTCGACTGAATGCGCGCTCACTTTTCTCTCGACTCTCGATGTATGTTACTACACACAATATAAAACAGTCCGTTTGTTTCGAGGTGAACGACCGAACTTTGTTATATACTTCGATGGTATGTGTACGTTAACTACCGCTTTGCAGCGATGATGTGACATCTGTACATGGCATATATGCGCCGCGGTCTCACTCTCTCACTGTAGTTCATTTGCAGCTCGTTTGTACATGTGAGAAGTTGTGATACGCTCAGAGAGCAAGCAGCGACAGCGGAAAAAAATGCTCAAAACAGCTGCATTATGATATCCTCCGCATGTTTGAACAGCGATCGCATAAACTATGTATTGAATGCTGTTCACATTGTGTGGCACAGGCATTCACACTCATCGCTCGGATTCCACTCAATTTGCGGTCGCCGTTTGTGTTGCGCTAGTTTCACTCCGACTGGCCCCAATGGTATCGAGTATTGTTCGAATGAGTCAGATGTCACACGATGAGATGTGTTTCGAGTGGAAATATTGACGACGTAAGCAGCAACGAAAACACACAACACAATCCATGCCGATTTGGGTTCGCCTCCAAAAATTCACGTTTTGACATGGAGAAAACCAGAAATTACTCATCACGTTTGGCATATGTAAGGCGCTATATAGTCATTGTGCCAACTACTTCTCTCTCACTACCAATATCGTTATGTACAACCATTGTAGGCTATATGATGTATTGGGCTTTCGCTCGGTGCGCGTACGAAAACAAAATATGAAATGAATGAATATGCGATTACGTAAAACGGTACACAGCCAACCAGCCAGTCTGTCCATACGGTAACGGTTTGAATACGCGTTGGTCGGCTTCTTGTGCACGCAAATATATCGGTATATGTCGTATCGAAGCATAAGCACCTCTTGAGCCATTTCTCAGCGCCAACGAAGAAGAAGACGCAACTGCGACGACACAACGGAAGATTTTTATCTGTCGTTCAAGAGCGTGTGTTACCTGTAAGGTGCAACAGAAGAAATGCACACAACTTTTACACGATGTACAGTAATAATTTTTGTAGCGTCATAACATTTAATTTCATGAGCGGTTCGAAGACAGCGACGTTCTGATCGACATTGAATTCATAATCCACTTTGGGTTCCATCGTTTTTTTAATAACATATACTAATTGATTAAGACGCAAACACACACGCGCACGCATCACGTCTTTGCGTTACAGACGTGCGATATTCATCGCACTGATCGTTGATGTTCAACGGTCGTCAAACCAAAAGAAAAAAAACAAATTCCTGTCAATTATATTGGCATGTGTACGAATTTACAGTTATACCTACATATTTGATATTGCTTGGGTGTTGCTGCAAAACATTCGCCTGAAATAACAAAGTTTATGTGGCAATCGCCTGAAATAACTCGATCGGTTTACATAATGAAGAGATAACGACACATAATCTCGATTCAATGTTTTCTGTTTTCATTTCTGTTGATAAACTTTAATTCATGAAGGAAATTCCACTGCATTCGTCTGGGACCTACCGCGAAACGATTTGTTTTCTATTGCCGTGATTTTGACAAGAAACTCATGAGTCATGAACTACATTCAGCAAACAGAGATCAAAGTCTTTTTCCATTCATATCAAATCAAAATGAAAAATCAAATTGCGTTTTGCGAGTTTTTTTATTTGATGATTTATACGGTTACTTATATACAAAGTTGCACTTCCTATTTTTTTAATAACTATATATATGCATATGGTTTTTTTAGTTTCTCTCATCTCATTGGCTAAAATTAATTCTATGTACGTGTGTTTATGTGTGTTTGTTGTGGATTCAAACTTGTAGTTTGCCTCTTTTAAATAAAAAATAAAAGTTTACGATCATCTGTGTAGTATAGAATAAAAGAGTGTTGAAAATATGCTTCAATAACAAATAGAGCTTCGACTGATTATTTCCATTCTCTTAAATTAACTCTCTCTCTGTGTGTGTGTGTTTGTAATATTTGTAATATTGGATACTCTTAACAGGATATAAATAAGTCAATTAGAATCTATGTGAACCATTGCAGAAAATCAAAGTAATACATGCATTGCAGTTTCCTTGAATAACAGAATAATGTAGAAGAGAAAAGAATATATTCAACCTTTTTTTGGAAAATTCCAAACAATTCATCAACGCATTAGAGCGATTTCCGAATTTCTTTTAAAATAAAAATGTATTTTTTTGTTTGGTAAAAAAATGCGTTAAAACTTGAATTTCTGTCGTCGTTTCAACGACATTTAAAAAAAAAATTAGTGTGAATAGACACGAAAAAAAGAAGAGAAAAAAAACAATAATCCAATTTAAATTGGTTTTAAAAACTAATCTAACAAAAGATAAACCAGTGTTTTGCTAGCCCCTATCATTTTGCCTAAATCGGAAAACGTTGGTTGTATATGATTTGAGTTGCTGTCAATTCCAGTTGTGTGATACTAGAAAACAAAAAAACACGATAACAAAAAAGAAATGAAACCAAACTCGTTGGTAAGATCAATATCACGCTAAACGTGTGCTTTGATTGCGAAAATAAATTGAAAAATAAAGTTTTCTTTATAAAAAAACCTGGAATCATATTCGAATACTTATTGTTTGCATTGTCAAAATAAAAGAGTCTAATTTTGTTTTTTCGTCTAAAAAAAACCAAAAACAAAACGAAAATCCGGCCAGAAAATGCAAATAAAAGTGACTGGAGAGGCGATAGTTGCTGTGCAGCTATCACCAATTGTCACAAGGTTTGCACTAGACATGCTTGGCATCGATTTCGGTATTGAGAATGATGTTTGGTATGCCGTTCGGATCGAGTTGCAGCTGATAAGCACTCTCAGTCGGTAGATCGCTCAAGTTCTTTGCTGATTTTGCATGCATTACCGACACATCACCAAAATTGGGCAAATCCATCGATTGGATCGCTTTCATCAAATTGTTTGCCTCTGGCGAACCAATCTGCACCGATGCGCTCTTCTCGTGCGCTGTGCCGTTTGGTGGTGGCACCCAAATTGGATCATCGTCCAGATCCAATGTATCAATCAAATCACCCATTTTGGTGTCGATTGTTTTCACATCCGTAGCATAGTTATGCTCATTGTTTTCGGTTTTGTCACAGAACAAACTACCGAAATCGGTGCCCATCTCTTCATCGGCAACGACATCACCGAATTTCTCTCTCGTATCAAACAACAATGCACGACGATTCTGTTGCATTTGATTCTCTTCCATTGAAATGTCACTTGGCATGGTGACATCATTGGTTTCATTTTTCAATTTCAAATTTGGAGCGGCAATCAATGCCATGCTCATCAATAGCACCATGAGACATGTAGCGGGCTGAACGGTTTTGTTACCGCTTTTTGTTAGCAGGTTTTGCATTTTTTTCATCTGATTGATGAGTGTTTGATTTTGTGTTTGCAAAATTTTGATACGTTTCAACAGTGTTTGATTTTCATCCGTACACTTTTTGACACGTTCCTCCAACCCATCCACATACTCCTTCTTTCGCTTGCGCGAATCTTGTGCGGAAATCTTGTTGCGAATCTTTCGGCGGATGCGTTTCAATTCACGTTCTTCGTGTTTTGTAAGCGGGTAATTGGCTGGAAGTGCAATGCCTTCCTTTGCAAGCAATCGTTTCTCTTCACCCGATAAAATCAACTTTGGATACTCTGATTGCTGATCAGTCTCGGCCTCCGGTTCACTATCATTATTTACGTCGTCTTCGTCGTCATCATTATCCTGCACAAACATCTCCTCGAATTTATAGCTCTCGCAATCGGAAGGCTCTGACATTGAGTCAATTTCTATTAAGAGAAATTTAAAATTAGATTTTCCACGTTTCAATATTGTCATCTAATTACTATCTCACCATATTTAGGCTCCACTTTGACTGGTTTGTTGACAAAAATCGTGTTTTGTTTGTATTCTTGCAGAAGATTTGATGCGGCCATCAGAATTTTCGGCGATTTTGTCAAGGACGATGGCTTAATAATTTTGATCGAACGGATGTCGGTTCCATTTTTCAGGGAAAATGGAAGAATGATGGATTTCTGATAAGGTCCTTTTTTCACTTGAATGACTTTGCGAATACCTACAACAGCAATACACGAGATAACGTAATCAATTAGATAGTTAGTTCAATCGCCATTATCAAGCTCCAAATAATGGTGACCAATCACTTTCTATCGCATTCAGTACATACCTGAAATGTTGCCATTCATTTTGTTGATAACGATCGGGGTGTTTGTCACCACATTTTCGTTGATAATGGCGTTGTTTTGTGGCTTAGCAGCAGTTTTTGGATCGGACACCTGAACGACATTTGTTGGGATTCTTTTTACATATTGAACTTTCTGTGTCGGTACACTTCGTTCAACTGGGGCGCTCTTAATTTGAATTGGAGTCACATTCGGCTGTTGAACGACCTTGTGGGTGTTTGGTTGTGAAATTTTTGCTGGTTTCTCCATTACCGCGGCCGGTTTCACCGCTTTGTTGATGAGAAGCTCATCATCAGCCAAATCTGGAATGATTTGGGCTGACAAAAGTGGTTGCTGCAATAGTTCCGTGCCCAATGGATCGAAATTCATGTCACTAAAATAGATCGAAATAACCCGATTAGCGATACAATGCGAATTGCAATGGTTTCTTTGGTTATTGCGTCATGATGTAAAAAATGCGTCATCATGATGCAATCTACTTACAAATCAACATGGTCGCTGGACAGACCACTGTCTGATGATGAGCTCGAAATCAGGTTTTGTGGTGGGCTCAACATTTGATCGGCAACCGGTTTCATACCAAGCATATCGTGATCATTTTCCGATTCGGTACCGGTTGATGTTGGCGACGACATATAATCATATGCATCGGTCCACGTATCCATATTGAGGCCGGCCAAGTCATTGAAATCGTTGAGAAAATCGTTGTTCAACGGAAATATGCTGTCAATATTCCAATCATCGTTCTATAAATTGAAAGACAAATCACATAGAAACAAGAGAAAAAAAATCTCATTAAGATTTGAATTTGAAGAAGAAAAACAAATATTGAAACATATGGAAACACACAAGTGTTTTTCAATTCAGCCATTGGTCCAGTGACGGTGATAAGAAATTTTTCTGTTGATTTGCGCAATATGTTATCAATATTTCCAAAGAGAAAAAAAGGCCCACGTGATTTGAACTAAGCTGCAATTGGAGGTTAATTTTTGTGGCATCTAAGCACAAAAACTGTAACTACGCATTTCAGCAAAAATTTACTTAATAACACACAAACATGATCACAATCACTGGCCAATGCATGAATGTATACCACATAGACACAATATAACACTCAAGTGTCGTTCCGTTATACGTATACGAAATTATATTGAACTGAAACTGTGTGATCTTGTTTTATTACAACGAATAATTTATTCGCTGAATTATACTATCATTTCTATACTCTATGCACATCTATAGCGTATGTGTTGATATTATAATTCATAAGAATCATTGGCAAAACCTATTGAAATGAATGAGAAAGAGAGAAAAAAAACTCATCACCTTCACTGTGAGTGCTATTTTAAGATATAAGCGCACATAAAATTCAAACGCATTTAAGTAGCACAAAGAAAACAAAATTGAAAAATTCTTTATTTAATCCGCATAAAAAATTGAGTTTTAATTACCTCTAATTTCATTGCATTATTATCCACGTCAGCAATGTCGAATGGTTTTTTATGTTGCACATTCACCGAATCGCCCGTAGCCGTGTGCAGGGCTAACGACTCATAATCTTTCATCGAAAAATCCATTTTTGTATTACTTTTTCTTTCTCTGATCCGTTTTCCAATCGATTATCTCTCTTTCTCTTTCACCCACACTATATATGTTCACAGCGACGGTGAAACGTCGACAAAAAAATACGCGAATGTGAAATGATCGCGTGTACAGAAAAATATCTGTGATTTATTTAAATGATTTATGGTTGTTTCTTTTTTCTTCAATTTATTGAATTACACAGGATTTTTTTAAATAAACTTGTGCACAGTCATTGTAGAGCTGGAAAGTTCTTTTAATGATTCCGTCGAATTGGGTTAAAATTACACTGCATTGTAATCAAAATGTGATGTGGTGAGCGAGAGCACACACAACGCTGCTGGTGACATACGGTGAAATAGTAACGAGCAAAAGACTATGTATGTGAAATATAGAGCAAAACCGTTTGCTCACTATAAAACGTATTTGTGTCAATCGGCCCGAACACTTGATGTTTTATTAAACTGAATGAGTAATTTCGATCAGCTAACACATACACGCACAAACAATGAAATATTCACTGATTTCACACTTTGCCAACGTATGCACTACGATTCCTTTGTTATGATAAAGAAAAAATAATAAAATTTCTTTATTTCTCGGGCTGATTCACACCCGACAGATGAACGAAAAAAAAAGGGAGTATGAAAGTCGCGCAGATGAGCGAGCTTCGTCGACACACAATCGACGAACGCACAAATGCTCCGGTTCTTAGCGAATGAATTGAATTTGTGTCTGGCGAAAGGTGAACTGATGCAGTTCCTTTCGAATTTCGTCGAAATTATGTTTGAAGCCTTTTTCTTTCTCAATTCTCTCACTCTCTAAGCCAAGTGAATGTGGCCAAAATGCAATAATGGAAATATACAATCGCTTTTGTGAACACACACCAGACGGGTTTGGTAATTACCGAATTCGATTCGTATACGTGGATTTGCCATAAAATTCAATGAACATTTTTATAGCATGACGGATATTAGGTCCGATTCACATGAGCAGTGGTCTATGTTGTCAAGTGACAATTGGATTTCACAACAGCAGAATATGGATATTTGTTTGTTGATGAAATGTATTTTCGATGAAATTTTATGTGGATATCTAATTGAAAAGAGATTATTCTGAAGCTTTTTTGAAACATGAATGTTTTTCATATTGATTTTTACAGAATTTCAAGTGGTCTACACTTGCAATGAATTGTTTGCGGCAAAGGGAATGTACGGTTTGGCGGCCATATTGAATAGGCCGATATGCGATAGTCATTGATGTGAAGGTGTAGGCACACTCACACATACCAAGCTCGCGAACTGGAAAAACAACATGTTGCTTCGTATGCATGCTTCGTTCTGTACAGTTGAAGATGTGCCTGCGTATGATGGCAACTCATTAAATCACTGCACACAAACACAAGCACACACAGCCACAGCGCAATCGAGAACAGCGTGAAGACGAGTACAATGACGATGTATTGAGGAAATTTTGACATATTTACGACGCAACAGCCGTATCGGAACGTACCCATCGAATGGATATCACATACCTATTGAGCGATTAGCACTCGTGTGTTCCATTCGTTTATTTTGTAGAATGAAATTTTTCGTTTGGTTGTATCGGAATTTATAGAGAGTTCATATCATGCATACGATGAATGTAACTAACTCATGGGCCGTTGAATGAATCGAATGCCACAAATACACACGTTACCAATTTGAACATTTTGAAAATTAACGATTTATTCATCGTCGGTTGTCCATGCCAGGAGAATCGGTTGAATAATAAGAGCGAGAAAAAAAAGTTGGTGGTTCAATATCTTAACGTCCATGACGTATGACGAATGCCAGTGTAATTTCGACAGTTGCACAAGTGAAATGGCTTAAGAATTTGCCATATATCCATTTGAAAACATTGAAATATACAGAGAGAGTCGAACAGAGTGCGCACACACAAGCGCACTTTTTCATTGAGATATACATTTTTCTCTTCTTCTTCTTCTGTTCAGTTCGTTTTGCGAATATCCGTGGGCACACACCAACAACGCACGCATACCAATGGATAGCGAGAGCCAGCCAGAACGAGTGAGTGAGATTGAATGAGCGGGAGAGACAGAGAGCGCACTAGAGAAACAACCAAACCGACGACTCCATGACGAAGCACATGCACACATACATCGATGCATGGGGCAGCCTGTATATATGTTTTATGGATGTTTTTGTGGCTCTTTGATTGCTGCTGTTGCTGCTTACATTACTACTCTGCCTCGGTGCTATGTGAGTTTCGTACACATAAACCCAAGATGTATCATTAAATTAATAATTAAAATGGCTGAAGATACATCATTTAACAGTCTTTCGTTTTGATTTCGCGTTTAAGTTCCATAACTTGTTCAAATAATTCTTGTCGTCAATATTCGTTTTATCTATTTTTTTCTGTTTGTTTGTGTTCCTTTCATTCCCCCATGTTTTAATTTTATTTCAATGTGAAGAAAATTTACGAAAATTGGCTGCGCGAGTGTGAAGACAAAAATTCCAGTGAATATTCGGTCAAGATAAAAAAAATATAGTGAGCAAGAAAGAGAGAGAAAGAAAACGAGAAGTGTAGTAAAATAACAACGTTTTGGAAGTAGATTTGAAATCAAACAGTAACAAATACTGAACAGAACACATAACAAAAAACACAAAATTTACAACAACCGATATTATTTTGATACGGGAGCTTAAGCACACACAAAACGATTAAAACGTGAGTTTCAACAGCAGCAGCAACAGAAGCAGCCGCAAAAAAACTAACAAGTGAACGAATAGAGAGAAAAAAAATCGTTATGAACAGCAGAAATCGCTGTATGCACAAGAGAGCCACTAATAACACATAATTGCAACAACAACAACTTCCCGTGAAAACAAGCAGCGATCAGCAAACAGAAAGCAAAACGTTCTGAATATTAAAAAAAACACACACGAGTGAATCAAATGATATACAGAATAAAAAGAAGAAAATTCAAACGATTTTGAATGAGATTTTTATTGTGGGTCAAATTCAAAGTGGACACATTTCTGTTTGTTGGTTGAATCAAACGAATAGTGAATTACACGGGAAAAAGTGGTGTGTTGTCGTGGGTCGTCAAATCCAATCATCATTGGTTTTGTGTGTGTCGTTGATTGAGCAGGTTGTGTAAAAGTGGAGGAATCAGAAACAAAGTTTCAACGACAGAGAGATAAAAACAGAAAGTGAGTTAGGGAGAGAGATAGAGATAAAGAAAGGTGATGTGAAAATCCAACTTATTATCGAAATGTCAAAACATTCCGAAAATATGAACTATATACACAAAAACATATCTATAGATTAATTGTATTGCGAATTTTCAATCCACTTGAGATTGCATTAAGGTTTTTCTCTACTTAATTTCTGTTTATTTAATCCGGCCAAAAGCGAGTCGAAGTGTGATATTGCGACGAGATATATATCGAGCCGAGCAAGGCTCTCTCTTCACGTCAAATCAAAGTCATTAACGAAGCGTAAACAATACGCATTTTGTTGTGTTATTTCGAATTACTTTTTTCGCCTCATTTTCTTTCATACGTTGGTTCGTGGGCGCATTGAGTGTGATGTAAATGACATACGAAAGTGAAAAATATCATTTGTTCAAACTGTAATATATCCCGAGATTTTTCGTTTTTCGATAGAAGTGTCTGTGTGTGCGTTTTTTTCTCACTACTCTGTATATGTTCTCCTGCCATCTATTTTGACACCCGCAAATCATTTGCTTATCATCGATGTGCGAAAAATGGCTTTGCTTTCGCATTGAAGCAGCGAGGCGATGAAATGTTCAAGGCGTTTATTACTCGTTTTTTTCTACGCTCGTTCATTCGTTTGCTTTCTTAGCAAAGTGCTCGCTCGCCATTTCTTGCAATGGAAAAATTAAATTTGGAGAAGATCCAGAAAAAAATTGAAATAAAATAAAATGGAACGAAGAAGAAAAATCGTTAAGTACATGCATAAGATAAATTGAATGGCATTGCGCGACGAAAAACAAGCATACAGAGCCGAGCAGTGTGTGTGTGTGTGTGAGAGCGAGAGAGAGAAAAGGGTAAAAGCGAGGATTCTTTCGCTGTGAGATTTTATACTGCGTGCAAAACATCCACCATCCAACAATACACACACTTTTTTCGGTGTGGATCGAAGTGAATGAGTGCGGAAAATATAACAAGCGCGTAATATCATGTATTGGGCTTTCAAGTGTAAAAAAATCCATTACATTGCACACACACACACACACACACACACAGCGAGAGAGAGAGAGAGTGTGTGTTAAAATGTTATTTTTAGAATTTTGTTTTATTCGTACAGATAAACAGTTACAAGAGAAAACGTTTTGTTTCATTCGATGTTGGCGATAATTTCTCGCTTTGCTCTCGTTGTTGGTTTGGTTCATTTTTTCTTTCTTTTATCAACACGAAATATTATTATTATTAAAAACGAATTGAGCGAATGAGTGAATTCGAAATAGTTAATGATAATGGGCAACGCAACAACTTTCCAGCCTAAATTCATGAGCAAGAACGGATTCCATGCGATAGTTAAAAATAAAGCCGAGAAACGGAAAAGAAAAACCATTTTAGAAGAGAAAAGAAAAGAAGAAGAAAAGCGAAATAACTTGAGAAATTTAGCAATAATTTTACCATTTTTGTGTGCACGCAACACTTTCTTCGAACTGATTGAGAGACAGTCGAGCTGTAATAAAAGAAACGATATGAAAGAAGAAAAAAACCACACGAAAAACTTGCCTTTAACTTGCCTCTTAAATGAGTCCTTCCGTGAACAGAGTGCACGAAATGGCAGAAGAAAAAAACACACAGAGAGAGAAAAAAGAAACAAAAAAGCAATGAGCCACACATAAAAAATGTGCGATAAGAAGCATTTTCACCGCGTATGCATTCGAACACACACAAAAAAATGTAATCAAGTGTCGCCACACAAACCAAGCATGTGGTTCGACAGTGTCCGAAAACCAAACAACTTCCGAAAAGATAAACAAAAAAATACCATTTGTTCTCTGTTGTTCCTGTTGTTGTTCTTGCCGTTCGACGACAACGGCGACGACGACAACTTTGTCGACGTTGTTCTCTTCTTCCCCTTGCTTTTGTTTCGTTTTCGGAATGACTATAATCATTATCAATGGTTTCATGTGTTTGCCTGAGCAAACATGCCGAATGATAAAATTGAATTGTCTTCTAATCATCGTCGTCGGTTCCCTTGCACTAACTGTATGCGCCTGTGTGAGTCGCATTAAAATTATACCGACCTACAGCTATTTGCTGTGTGATAATAATGCATTGCTCTTTTCAAGCATGCATACGTATTATGGCAACTCTGTACTGTGTGTCTTGAGTGTGAACAGTGATCTGAAATGACATGCGCCTCATCCGCAATTTATTGTTTTGTGTACGCTTTTCTGATTGATTAGAACAAATGCAGCGAGATGCAATCATTCCGTGTGCTGCACACAGAAATCGATGAAATGTTCCATCCAATGTGAAGAATGGGCTGAGAGAACGGATGCACTGGGATGTGATGCATCAACACTATCATCATCAGCAGCTTCAAAAAAGGCAGCAGCAGCAGCAGCTGCATCGGCACTGCGACGATACAAACGTGTGAGAGAGTGAGATGGTGTGTGACACAACGTGCTTATTTATGGATTTCCATAAATACATCGAGCATTGTTATCAGCATTGAGCTCATATTTTCTGGCCCTTTGCGAAATTCAATTCAAATAATGCCATTCAATGCTCATCTATTTATATTTCATGGCACATAATTTGTGCGCTCGCTTCATTCTCCGGTGACTCATTCAATTTTGTCTTGATTGGGTCGCATTTTTTCTCTTTCTTCTTCTATTTCGGTGTGTGTATGCTGGTTTTTTTTTTCATTCTATCCGCAGTGATAATTGTGTGCATTGCCGTATGGGATCAATGATGATAAAAGTTAAGCAACGACAGTCACATGAACATTTTGAAACAATTGAGCTTGAGGATAGCACAACAATCGATTTCTTGTTGCATGACATTATCGTTTAGGGTGTTGCCATGTTCCATAATATTGTATGTGGCTGACTCTTGTTTCGCCTGTTTTGTTCTTTCATTTTCGCTTCTGTTTTCTATTTTAGCTGAATATATCAGTTTTTGAATTCGTAACTCACATATGTCCGTGTCCGCATTTGTTCGAGCAAATTGAAGTGAAAGACACAAGTCATACGAAAAGACAAAGAAGCACACACACACACAACAATAGCAAACACAAATGACGATGATGACGATGAAGAAGAATAATAAGAGAACTCAAAGCGGCGACACAGACGAACGAATGAAAGAAAAAAGCAAGGAGAAACAAACAGCAAAAATCGTTATGCTTTATCATATACTAGACGTAGATTCATACAAAAGTCATTCTCCCGTCTTTTTAATCGTATCCCGAGAAAAATGAGTGAATAATACACAAATGAGCACGACACATAACTCGTCATCACATTCGCGTAGCTCGCTCATACATTCATCCAATCTGGACGAAATTTAAAAAAAATGAACAACATTTTAAATGTTCATATTTGGTTGCATATTTGGCCGTTGAGTTGACTCTGTTCTTTTTTAAGTAGCTCGTTTAATTCTAATGTCATCTCGTTTATTTTTTATTCTTTGTTTTAATTCTGAATCGACGCTGTCGCTCTTTTTTTTTCTACAGTTAACTCATTTCGGATGAAATTTATTAATATTTTTCTCTTGTGTGAATCGTTTTGTCTCTTTCCATTTTGCAGGCAATCCAAGTGGCAACAAGTGTGAACGGGTTTTTAAGGAATTCTGTATTGCTGCTATCGTCGGTTTGATTTTAATTTCATGGAAATAAATAAATCAATGGTCGTCATGAATGGTGATGTAGTCAAGTAATTCCGAAATCGTTTAGCAGTGTTTCATCGAAACGGAAACGAGAAGAAAAGAATTCTTTTTTCGGGCCGAATTTTTAAACGAGTAAAAGGCAATCATCAATGAAAAGAGAAAGCGAATAAACAGACCACAGAGAAGAAGCAAGCGGAAAATACGAAGACGACGACGACAAGAACAGGCACAAACATAAAATTGATAAAAATCACGTTGCGCTCATTTCGGCGAGGAGGGCAAAAAATGTCCGATTGGAGTTGGATGCGAGTTGAAAATCGATGCAATAGTCTTCAAAATAATGCAATCCACGACCGATTCGGCTTCCAGCAGCAATTGCTCTCGATATATACTACAGGTAAGCGGTGAAGCTGTGAATGGATTCGATTTTCAATTTACACCGATCGCCATTCATTCAACGCAGCGCGTATTTTATACCTTTGGTTGCGGTTTGACATTGAAATCGCGACCAAACGAAACCACGTGCTCATCAATCTTTCTTTTACTCTATTTCAATGCGATTCGTTCAGGTTTATGTTGGCCAATTGTCATTGCACTATGAAGCGCTCAGCGTTGAAGCTTCCAAACAAACGACTGCCGAAGAAATTGTAGCATGCATTGTGGAGCGTCTTAGTTTAACGGTAAATATTCGGTCAAAACAATAAATCTTTTCCGTTGCTTTTCTCTCTCTCTCTCTCTTGATCTATTGCCAAAAAAAAACAATGACAACCACTTTGTCGTTTAACTCTATCACAAATGAGCACGCACACACACACAGTGTGAAATTCGAAGAAAGAAGAGACAAAAGCACTAATTTTACCCGCTGGACATATTTTGATCGTTTTGTCATGAGTGTTTTTTTCGATTCTCTCTTTTGTTCTCTTCCATTTGGTCGGCATTTATTTAATTCATCTGCATAGGGAACGAATTATGAATTGGCCGAAGTTGCTGGTGAAAGTAAAGAGCGACGCTTATCACCTGATGAAAAACCGGTTTCAGTGATGCTGCTGTGGCCCCTTCACTCCGAAAAAGATTTTCACAGGTAATAATTATTTATTAAAATTAAATTATCATTTGACGAAGAAGAAGAAGAAAAACAACGACAGAAGCGAGATTTATGCAAAAACCGTAAATAGATGATTGGCTCCAAAATGATGAATTAGATTGGAAATATTTGACCCAATTGATTGTTTTGGTTTTGATGGGTTTTTTTTATTGGTGAAATGTATGTTTAACACATTTTGTTTTCTTTTTTTCTCTCTCTCGCTCACTTTCTGCAACGTTTAGATTTTATTTGCGCGAATCACAGGGTGAAACACCATGGCTGGACAATTATGGGCTGGATTTACACATATTTCGCGATTTCATTCCGTTCTTATTCCAACCGGAGAATCGTGAATATCCCGATTTGTGCCAATTACTCGACTTGAATGAGTCAACACTTTTGGAAAATCTGCGGCAACGCTTTGTTGCCGGTCACATATACACGTACGTTGGCAGCATTTTGATTGCTGTCAATCCATTCAAATTCTATCCCATCTACAATCCAAAATATGTACGGCTTTATCAAAATCAACGCGTTGGACCAATTTTACCACCTCACATATTCGCAATAGCTGATAATGCATACTACTGTATGCTGAGAGAGAAACGAAACCAGGTAATTGCAGCGAACAACTGTAACCGCTATCAAGTCATTTTATCAACATTAAATCAATTACTCACACAAATTCCCATCCACTTCTACCTTATCTTCTCTTCTCATCGATGTGTAACAGTGTGTAGTCATCAGTGGAGAGTCCGGTAGCGGGAAAACAGAAAGTACAAATTTTCTGTTGCACCATTTGACGGCGCTGTCACAAAAAGGTTCACATGGTTCGGGCGTTGAGCAAACCATTCTCAGCGCTGGCCCAGTTTTGGAGGCATTTGGCAATGCAAAAACGGCACACAACAACAATTCTAGTCGATTCGGTAAATTCATTCAGGTGAAATACAAGGAAAATGGAATGGTCCAGGGCGCCATCGTGCAAAAATACTTGCTCGAAAAGAGTCGAATCGTATCACAGGGGCTGGCAGAACGAAACTATCATGTGTTCTACTATTTGCTGTCAGGTGCGACTGCACAAGAACGTGAGCTTCTACACTTACTTCCTGCCGAAAAATATTGCTATTTGAATTCGAAAAATCTGCAGCTGGAAAATTGCGATGAAACTTATGAATTTTCGCGGCTAAAACAGAGCATGGAAATGGTTGGATTTTCGGCCGAAAAGCAACGACGCTTATTCAATGTATTGTCAGCGGTGTTGCTGCTGGGCAATGTGGAATTCTTCCCCAAAAAATCCACGTATCACCACGATGAAAGTGTTCAAGTGCGTAATATCGAAGTGGTTGGCCTGATATCAGAGCTGCTGAAAGTGAAACAGGACACACTGTTGGCGGCACTCACATCGAAACGGGTCAAAGCCAGTGGTGAAACATTGATTATGCAATACAAATTACCAGAAGCAATAGCGGCACGTGATGCACTTGCAAAATGCCTTTACGGTGCATTGTTCGATTGGATTGTGCTGCAGGTGAATCATGCGCTTTTGAATAAAGATCAACTGCCTCATACGGGCCACTCAATCGGTGTTCTCGATATATTCGGTTTCGAAGACTTTGACTCGCAAAATAGTTTTGAACAAATGTGCATCAACTATGCCAACGAGCATCTTCAGTATTATTTTAATTTGCACGTTTTCAAATACGAACAAAACGAATATAAAAAGGAGGGCATCAAGTGGCGGGACATTGAGTTCATGGACAATTCAGGCTGTTTGCAACTGTTTGAATCAAAACCAACGGGCCTTTTATGTATTTTAGATGATTTATGCAAGTAAGTAAATTGGATTTGTTAGTGTGTGTGAGTGCGATGATGGAAAAAACGGAACACCGGTATTTTCCGGTGCCACTTTATACAATCGACCACAATGAACGCAATTAATTCATCAGCTAATGAATTCGATTACTATGTCATAATTTTGCAGCTTCCCGGGAGCCACAAATGAAACACTCTTGCAAAAGTTCAACAGTGTACATCGCGATAACAAGTTTTATGAGAAACCGCAAAAAAAGGAAAATGCATTCATTATCCGACACTATGCAGGGAAAGTAAAATATCAGGTAAACAATAACAGCACGTTAGAATAAATGCACTGTGGAATCAGGCAATCAATGCAAATTCAATTTTAACGTTTCCGATTGAATTCCACTTCTTTGACGTCTTTCGCGCGCGCATGTGTGTGTGTCTAGGTTACTGAAATGCGGGAGAAAAACTTAGATTTAATGCGACAAGACATAGTTAGTGTATTGAAAAATTCGAGTATGGCATTCGTGCGTGAGCTGGTGGGCGCCGATCCAGTGGCTGTATTCAGGTGGGCGATACTTCGTGCATTTTTCCGCGGTTATTTTGCATTCCGCAGTGCTGGCATGAAACATCGCAAAGAACGCAATAGTCAATCGATCAAATCGAATCGCATAAGCCGCTTCCGAAGCCCCAACGAATCAATTTTAAGGTAAGCAAAGTGTCACAAACATTGTATTTTCAGCAACGTTGCACAATTTCCTTCTGATGACGAATGTATAAATAACATTCTGAACGCGTTTTGATAAGGTCTTACCAAAAAGCCAAGATAGTGATACTTTTTTTGCTTTTCTCTGGTCGATCAATCAAATTACTAATCATTCTGTTCGTTTCTCTTACACGTATCTCAGTCATCTAATCACCGTTTCATCGGTGAACCTAACAATCTACCGAATAGCGTAAGTTCAACGCCATTGGTGTCAAACATAGCTGATCAAGCATAGTCAATTTTGTTGTTATATTTATGTGTGTGTTGTGTAACGCATTCATTCACTTTTGGTTCACATTTTCACGCCTGATTTGTTTACGTTAAATTTTTCGTTTTCCACTTAATCTTCGATGGTTGTCAAAGTCATTAGTTTTATTTTTATCTCTCTTTTTTCTCCTCGAAATACGTTCGTTTATTCAGTCTCTCCTCAAAGCGCTTTCGTTCTTATATACCTCATCTAATTTTTGTTATTTGTTGTCAAACGTCCATTTGCAATGCATGCTCTCCCTCCTCTCGTTTCAATTGGTGTCTTAACGAATTTTCATATCTAAATATTCTAGCGGGTTGTCATTTACTACTAAATTTACCGCATTCCTAATGAGTATTTTCTTTGATGGTGTTTATTTTTAGAAAAAACAAATCGTTTCGGCCACGCGAAAGACCAAAAAAGGGTTTGAAAAACCTGCAAACAGTGAAAACACTAACAGCTGGCCAGAACCTGTTGAATTCAACCACAATCAAAACACGCAAACAACCACTCACCGTTACAGCACAATTCCAGAATTCATTAACGGCCCTGATGGACACACTCAATCAGGCCAATCCATTTTTCATTCGGTGCATAAAATCAAATTCGGACAAAATTCCGAACAAATTCGATGATGCGACCGTTGTGCGGCAGGTGAGCGTCTCTCTCTCTCTCTCTTGTTTTTCTTTCTTCACACATGACATTTTTGCTAATTTTGATCCTTTTCCTCCGTTCAGTTGCGGTACACGGGAATGCTGGAAACGGTGCGAATTCGTCGAGCCGGTTACAATGTTCGATTGACGTACGAAGAATTCATTCAGCTGTACCGTATTTTATTGCCAAAAGGTCTAGTCAGTTCACAGCGAGATGTGCGCACATTCATGGATAAAATGAACCTTAATAAGCAACATTATCAATTAGGTAAATTCCAAATGCGATTCACTGAATGTGCCTTATCTAAAGTGACAAAATTCATTCCATTGCAGGAACCACAAAGATCTACATGCGTGAATCGCAGAAAATGTGCTTGGACTACAAGCTGCACACAAAGATTATCGAGAGTATTGTGTCGATTCAGCGATGGTTCAAGACGAAAAGCCAACGGGATAAATTTGTATCGTTTCGTACGGCTGCCATTAAGATCCAGTCATTTTGGCGAATGCGCATGGCCCAGAATAAATTGTACCAGTTGAAATTGCGAACGAATGCAGCGATTGCGATTCAATCTATGTTTAGGATGTATCGGGCGCGAAAAATGTACAAGAAACTGGTGAACGGACTGATATTAATGCAGGCGCACATTCGTGGCCGTGCAGCACGTATACGCTTCAAACGATCCCATCGACAGAAAGCGATGAAAGAGCGCTACAAATTGCGACCAACACAAAGTTTGCCGTTACATGACCGCGCCACACCCGACGGTGAAACGATCGATGTTGAAATTAGTAAATCATATCCGAAATTGGTGCAGTACAGTTTGGATTTGATCGGTGAAAGTACCAGTGCTGATGCCACAAAGAATCTATTGCCAACGACGGTGGCTGAACAGGACGCAAGCCTACTGAACAAAGCTGAACATCAATTCCGATCGCTAATGGTTTCCACAAAGACGACCAGCAGCGGCTTAGGCGAACAAATAACAAGTGATATCAAACGGTTTGGAAACGATGGCCATTCTAAGAGTAAGATTGAAAGTGCGGAAAGTGTCGATAGCCACAGTCCAAGGTCATACAATGTCGACACAGCGACAAAGCAATATTTCGACGATTCCTTCATGGTTAAAAAGTGAGTATTGAGAGACAGATTCATTTGTTGATGCAAACAAAATACCGGAATCATGTCAATTTATGTGTGATTTTTCTTTCTTCTCTTCCGTTTCAGATGGGAAATGTCAAAATCCCCCGTTCGTTTAATTGAAAGTAGTTATAGTAGTCCCAAAAGACAACCGGTTTCCAGTTCGAGCTTGAAGTCGGATCCACGCGAAACATTAAATTATAATCTAAGTAGTTCGAATGTAACGAAAATGCAGGCATTGACCGGCTATCCAGATAGCACGTACGCCAATTTGAGTAGCAAAGATAAGTCAAGTGCAATATCCCCAACATCCGTAAATAATATGATGTCAATGAGTAAATCGGTGAATTTGCAATCGCATCGACGTGAATTGAATACTGGGCTGTCGTACGATGAAACGAAACTGGCACGATTCCATGGGCCAACTGATCTGAGTCCACAGCACGAGCAAGCGTACGCAAACAGTTCGATAATAAACAATAGCAATAATAGTAGCAACAAACAGCAACAACAACCACCGGACAATATGCATTTAATGTCACAAAATAATACTCAAACTAAACTCAATAGTTCACCGTATAAGCATCTAGTCCCGCACAGTGTTGAAGAGTGTACGCCACGTGGAAAAGCGGCCGCACTTCTTGGAACTGATTCAGTAATAACGCCAACGACGATGACGACGACGACCATCAAACATAAGCTATCAGATAGCACCGGCATCAGCCATCATCATACGCCAACGCGTATTCCGGGCGCATTTTTGCATTCCAAATCGCGACGCAACTCCGATCCTAGTTCGAACAAAATGACACTGCTCGAAACGAATCGCGGCAATGATATGTACCAGTCAAGTACGCACATCAATATTGCGGGCCATCGCTTTCACAAAGCCAGTAAAATTGGAAAGAATGAGAAATGTGCGAGTTGCCAAGAGAACGATGCATTCATCAATGAGGGCCATCGATGTTTGGACTGTCGCCTGCTCGTGCACACCAAATGCATACAGAATGGTGGCGTGAAGACGTTGCACTGTGAAAAGTCATCGAAACGACAACCGCGCAAAGGTTCCGACAAAATATCATCCAAGTACAGTGGAACGCGCGAGTACACAGATTCGGCGGATAAAATTATCAGCGATGCCAAGGAGTTGCAATTGATGCAAGATTTTATCGCACAAAAAATTTACAAAATGGATGCGGATTGTGATAAAACTGCTGCCGTTGATCGAGTATTCAAGCAGGCGCTGCGCGAATTTAAAGACAATTTAGTGGCACAATACAGTATTGCACACAAGCAAAAATCCGATACGCTTAACATAAAATATCGGGATCTGATTTCGAATTTCGAACAAGTGATGGAAACGTGCGGCAATAAATCAGAAGACTTCCCACTGACGATGTGCGTGAACGGTTTTCGGGTGTTTATGAACGAATTTATGAACTCACGCGAAATGGAAAAACCGAAAGCCAAACGGAAAAAGGAGAAGAAACGCAAAGTCGACGAACATACCAATTACAATGGTGAGTGTGAATGCGAACGAGGTTCTTTTTGTTGTTAAACGGTTCTAATTGCAATTTGTGTGTTCTCATTTTTGTGTTGCAGGTCATATATTCCAACTTACAATAATCAACATACCGACGGCTTGTGAAATATGCCAGCTGTTCTTGCTTTGGCCAATTGAGCGTGGTTTGGTATGTAAACATTTGTTTGCTTAAACCTCGAGTTTATTCATCTAATGTTCCAATTTTATCATTCGCTGTTTTCTTCGTCCACAGGTGTGCCAAAATTGTCGCCTTACATGTCACAAAAAATGCTATTTAAAAACGCAAACCTGTAACAAAGTTACGAACCAATCAAACGACAATGCAAAGTATGCACCAGTGCCAACATCGGGATTGTTCGGTATCCCATTGACCAGTCTGTGTTGTATGGAGGATAATACGGTGAAGATCCCGGTGAAAATTGAGCAATTAATCACAAAAATCGAGATGCATGGTCTGTATACGGAGGGGCTGTACCGCAAAAGTGGTGTAAATTCCAAAATCAAAGAGCTTAAAATGAAAATGTCCGAATCGAAGGGTGAAATCGACTATGAGCTGTACAATGTGCACGTGTTGGCGAACGTACTGAAATCATTTTTACGTGAAATGCCCGAGCCACTGTTGACATTCGACCGATATGACGACTTCTTGCGTGCATCGGAACTCTCCGAAACGACCGATCGCGTTTCAACGATGATGTCACTCATTAAGAAATTGCCGACGGCTCATCATGCACTGTTAGAACGATTAATTTTCCACCTAGCATTGGTGGCGCAACGGGAACAATTCAATCGAATGTCGGCCAGTTCGTTGGCAATTGTATTTGCACCGTGTGTATTGCGCACGAATCGAATTGTTCCGGCACAGGACAGTTTGAATGACATTGGCCGACAAACGAAGTGCATAGAAACGTGAGTGTGAATGCGAACGAGGTTCTTTTTGTTGTTAAACGGTTCTAATTGCAATTTGTGTGTTCTCATTTTTGTGTTGCAGGTTGATCACACAGAAGATGGTGAATGTTCGGTGCACATTGAACGATATTCACAGTTTGGACAATGCGGCACATACGGCAACAGCGCGTCTAAGTAACCTGCGAAGTTCGAAGGTGTTTACACCCGAAGAGATCTTCCCAAGACCGCAAAGCATTGAGTCAGAAAGTGAAGAGAAATTGCTCGAGGATCATCTGCAAGAAATTGAAATGGAAAAGGCAATTCTAACATCAACGTTGCCCAGTTTGGCTCGTGCCAGTTCCGATGATGATTTCTTGTCCACGGATATGGAGGCCGAAGGTGAAGGTGGAAGTCTCGACGACTTGACCAGCAGTCGATTGGAAGAGACGACAAAGGAAAGTATTGATTCATCGTTTGGCAGTATTAGCGAACCGCAACTCAGTCCGATGAATGATTCGTCGAACAAAGATTCGAGCGGTATGGATCTTGAGTCACCGGTTGCTTGTTATAATTTGCGCGAGCAAAATATCGACTATTTGCCACCGGGCCATCGGCAAATGTTCCAATTCAGTGGAATGCGTGATCGAAATATGGGCGATAGTACGCCGTCAACATCGACCAGCGTTGATTTTCAACAGCCACAAATCCACACCAAACTGATTGATAGCCAAAAAAGTAGCTCGGCATCCATTGATTCGGCAAATCTGGGCGAATTTCAGCACATCCAACTGACCGCATCGATGCAACGCCAACCACCACCATTCATCAACCAGCCCGACGACGATAACGCACGAACAAACAAACAGAAGCCAACAAAACGTCGTACCATTGACGACAAGCCAATTATGGTATAAGTACGATTTAGAATCAAATCAAATGGAAAATAACATAACAAAAGCACACATTGAAGAATAAACCTAACATTTAGAAGAAAATTTAACAGAGATGAACCTATACATTAGAAAGATATTTACAACAAAACAAAAAACATTTATATTTATAAAATTCATAGTGCAAAGTGAAACAACAGAGAATTTATTGACAACAACAACAAAACACACACACAAACCCAACAAAAAGGAATTATATTAACGTTCAGAAACCCATATTGAGTATCACAAATTATCAAGATAACTATTTTCATGTAAAAAAACACACGAAAACAAAAAGAAAATCCACAAAAAAATAAATAACCGCACACTATTCACCAAACAAAAAATGAAAGTGAACAAAAATACAGAAATTTATTGAACAAAAAAGAAAGAAACAAATATTGAGAAGAGAAAGAGACAAAAAGAAAACACATGAATATACATTTACTATTATAAATAACATACGTATTTAAACAAAAAAAAAACTTGTGGAATGCAACAAGATGCTGGCCAGAAGAGCAACTGATAAAAACAGAGAAAATAAAAACAAAAGAAAGAGAGAAAATATCTGAAATGTGAAACAAACAATCTACTTCGCTATATATACACATACTATTTTTTTTAAATATGTTTCTGTTATTTTAATTTCTAAAAAATAAAGTATGTTATATTTAAATGAAAAAAAAAAACACACACACACACAATACAGAAATTAAAAGATGGTGGAAAAAAGGAAACTACAAATTTTATTCATTATTAGCGTTTCTCATTTTGTGGATAATAATGTGAAAACATAAAATTGAAAACAACACAAAAAAACGAATGTATTTAAAACGTTACTTAAAATTGAGCAAAAAAAAAACATTTGTCCTTATTGAAAATGAATGGTTGTTTTTCTTCTTCTTCTTCTTCCTATCAGCATTGATTTCCGACAGACAGCATTTTGTCATCAGTTTTTCAGCCATGAACAGCAGTGTATTGTTTTTGTTGAGTACTTAATGCATTTCCTAGTCTGCTAGTTTTTGATGGATAATGCAATTATTGATTGGATGAGTAGTTATCATTCTCATGAAAATCAAAATAATGAATCAAAATTGCATTAAAGAGTAGTAGCAACAGCCGTAGCAGTGATAGCAGCAGCAGCAGCAATAGCATCATAATGTATGAAACGATTACAAAAAGGCGGCATTTGTGCCTTGCGGGCGCAACATATATTACAATAGATTTCATCGAATGCCGTCTTAAGCTTTTATCAAGTGAATCAAATACGAGCTGTTCTTTTCACGCAAAAAACATTTTACGTTGTGAATGACTGGAAGATATTTGGTTCATGGTAAATTTGAAATGCTACGGAAAATGAATCGATTTTCACTTCCCTCACACACACATACGCACACAAAATGCAAAATTCTGTCATTTGATATCCAAGAGCACAAAAGCTGCGATGACACATTAGCTTTTACCGTTGGGTTTTTCAACTGTTTCATTTTTCCCAACGAAATTTCGATGCGAATGGGAAACTTTTTTCTATTGCTGTCGTCATCCCCACTTTCGATCAATTTTTCCATATTCGATGTTGTCAGCGCATGCGCACCATCGCAGCGATTGCGAATTTTCGTCAACCCACGTCCAGCAAGAAGAAATTTTCCTATGCACAAGCTGACGAACAGTGAAGGCACAATTCTTAGTAGAAGTGGTGCAATTAAAAAAACCATTTGAATTTTATTTTTCTCTTATTCCAGCCCAAAGTCAACGAAAAGTCCAAATTGTGCTTAAAAAATTTCTACATTCGAACCCAGAAATCAAAGAGAGAGAAAAATAAATTCGAATAAACAAAAAAACGGAAGATTATTATTTCAAATAATTGACAACGAAAAGTAAAATTGAGTGTGTGGCTTTCAAGCACTTTGTGATTCAATTCGTAAGCGAAGTAAATAACCAAACGAAAAAATGTAAGTGTTAACTAGCTCTCTGTTCAACGTCAAAATATTGATTTTTTTTTTTTCGTTGAATGTTCGTCATTACCGAAATTTCGTGCAAATGGATCTTATTTTCGTTGTTTTTTTTTCAACATCACAATGAAAGGCAACAGTAATTTTTTGATAATTGTTTCTTTTTCGATAAGAATTGCTCTTTTTTTCTGGCTATACACCTAAATAAAAAACGATAAAATCAATTATTGATTACAATGGATTATTAGCTCGGAGACTGTTTCAAAACATACCATAGCCTGAATATACATGACACACAATGCCTGAATTCAATCGACCTAATGTGTATTTGTCGAATTCAACTGTTTGTCATTAACGAAAGATTTTCCTATTTCATTCACAATTTTTTTCGAGCGAAAGAGAAAAAAACAACGAAAATTGTCTTCACTCGACGCGTTGTTGCCCTCCAGCTCTATATATTGTATTTTCACATATATACATATATCGCTATCTAATTGACGTACGTTCATCGCTTCTCATGCCTTTTTCGCTGCTTTGACACACTGCAACTCCAAAATCTAATACATCGTAATTCCCTGCATTACGAATATTTATCGATTTTCCACGACGAATAGTTTTGAAGCGTGTTTTCATTGTTATTGTTGGTGTGATATTCAGTATGGATGTGTGTGTGTGTTTGTGAGTGACGGAAATTATAATTGTGTGTCTCTTACTCTGTTGAATGTTCAGTGGAATTGCTTTTAATTAGTCGATTTTGTTTCAATTGCACTGAAACGCCCGTTTCGTATACTCTCGATATGATACGGTAGAGATATTTGTTTACAAACATGTGAGCTAAATGTTATAAATAGCAAAAAATGGAACGTGAGAGAGAAGAAAGGGTTTTTTTCCTCTAGAGAGAGTCGGTCGAAACAAACACACGAAAAAAGACAATAAATATCATTCCGGAAACCTGATACTAGCGTAACTATATTTTTCTCTCTCCATAACTCTCACATGGTTTAACGTGATGATTGATTTGCATGAGTCACTGTGAATCACCCGTTACGAAAACATGTTCGTATCCATGAATGTTTGCATAACGCTTTATATTTAAGTAGTAGGTAGTTAAGTGATTAAGATGATTTTGTTTCGTTTCTTGGCCACAGGGCTGACGGTGGCTTAGCTCCAACAACAGAGGGAAACGATGATGGAATCGTTGGAGGACCAAGAACCCCACAACAAATCGCGGCTCAAAGACGATTACAACAAACACAGGCTCAAGTCGATGAGGTAAATTTTAATCAAATGAATCAATCAAATTAACACCGACTGACTCATACTCATGTCATATTTCGTTTCAATTTTGATGATTGATTTTTATTGCGCGCCCGATAAAGGTTGTCGATATTATGAAAACCAACGTAGAAAAAGTATTAGAACGTGATCAGAAGCTATCCGAATTAGATGATCGAGCCGATGCATTGCAACAGGGTGCATCACAATTTGAGCAGCAGGCCGGTAAACTGAAACGAAAATTCTGGCTCCAAAATCTGAAGATGATGATCATTATGGGAGTTATTGGACTGGTTTTTGTGGCCATAATTGCGTGTAAGTAATCGATATTTGCTCATTTCAAAATCCAGTTCCTTTCTCAAGACTAGAGAAGAACAACCAAAAATCAAACTCTTTTTTTCTGTCCCAATTTGCCATAACGAAGCCAAATTTGGGATGTTCGACTCGCCGCCACCACAACAACAACAATACCCAGCATATGCACCACCACCACCACCACAACAACAACCTCAAATGCCAGCACAAGGTGGTGGTCCAGCGAAACTATTGGAAGATCCAGCCTCTCTTCTACTGAATATAAATTCCAAATTTTAAAGTTAACTGAATTGAGTTGAGTGTGTACGCGATTGCGACGACGAGTTTCTTTTTCCCCCTGATTCGATTCGTGCAAAATAAGGAAAAACAATCGCGGAATCTTTTGCGAATCAAACATTTCAGCAAACAATTTCCACATCGTAGCGCATACCGTACACGTAAAGTAACTTAAAAACAGAAATGAGACAAAAACAAGCATATGAAAATTTTTGGTGTTAGTTCTAACTAGTATGCGGTACGAAATCTGACCTTAAACAGACAGAAAAAAAGAACAACCACACATACACACTATGTTCAAAATGAAGAGAAGCGCATACGAACAACAACCGCAGCAAAAACACCTTCTCTAACAAGAAAGAAAAAAAAATCACTTAACATTTCCGAAAAAATTTAATAAACATGCAAAAAAAATTAATATGAATGCGAATGGCATAGAAATGATAAATAATTGACCCATTCCAACATAACTGACAAAATGATTCATATAAAAAGTTTTAACCGAAACGGAACATTTATAAATGACAAATTACACACATAGAACACTAACGCGCTGCTCATTTGGGTAACATTTGGATTGGTAATAATAACCAATCCAACAATGCTGTACAGAATAGATGCAGTCGGTCAGTCATCAAAAACTCACCTTCCGAACATAATAATGTTTTCACTGCACGTAGATAAAATTTAAAAAACAAAAAACAAAAACAAAACCAGAATCTTTCTTGAAATAATTCATTCGTGTTCGGCTGATTGAGTGTTTCGATGAACTTGATCATTTTTCGACCCATTTCGTATTTCATCAATATTACCTACTTGCGTGTCAAATGCAAACCATTCATTATAGTAAGCGCGTACAAGTGAATAGAAACACAAATCGGATGCAAAACCAAAAACTTTATAATAAATAGCGAGAATACACCATAGCACATGCGAATGTGCCTCAAAATCAAAGAACAACAACAACAACAAATGCAATATGGGAAATACTACGAATAAAATAGAAAAATATTGGAAGTACATGCAAAATTTAATAAGTTGTCACTTATAGTGCTATAGAACGCTAAAGAACAAACAAACCAAAATTGATACGTTTTATGACGATAGTCTCATTTAAATGAATTTTGAAGAAAGAAAACGAGAAGTGAAACACTACACCTAGAGTAATATTTGGTTTATGGGTTTTTATTGCCTTTTCACCATCGGACCATCTCGGCAAATCGGCTCTCGACAGCCGTGAAAAGAAGAATCACACATCACACCAAAATGCATTCATTGCATATATAAAAAAAAAAGCAAAGCGCCAATAGAAACACTTCATTTAATTGTCTTTCCGTTTCAATTTATCTGTGTTTGCTTTCGTTTTATCTGTATTATAAAGAAGGAGAAGAAAATAAGTCAAACTTAGAACTAAAAACAAATCAATTGGTTGCATCGAATGTCAAACAAAAACCGAATGCGGGTTTTCAATCCACAACTCGGTAGAAAAGAGAACCGAATGAACAACAAGTTTATGACAAAAAAATTAAAGGAGAATCTAAACAAAACCAACAAAAAAAAATTAATCAATAAATAGTTTATCATAAGCAGAAAACAACAACAACAAAAACAAAACAGCAAACTTATTATTCACCACGATTACTCTAGAAATGATGTTCAAAAGAATAAACAACAACAACAAAATATTAAACTATATGTATGTAATTTAATTCGAAATATTATTCCCAAAATATGTATATCACAACAAACAATAAAAATCATTGGAAATTATTCAAAATTAGCGCTTGGTAGTGCGTTTCAATGCGTTTTTTTTCAATTGGTTTGCAGAAGAGTTCTAGGGGGATCTATTGTTATGCGGTCCGTGTTACGAGATTAGCTTTTGAGGTGATTTCAATGGAACAACGATATCAATCGTCGGCAAGAGCTAAGAACTATATGAATGCGGCACGCGAGAGTCACAAGCTGAACTACAATCTCTTTCATTCACCGGGGAGATGAACAAATTCCACTTATTAGATGTGTGGCAAAATTGAACGCATAATTGAATGCGTTTGCTCCATTTCACATTCATTATTTCGTAATCGCATGGTGAAGTTTTTTTTTCTTCATCTTTCTCTCCTTCGGTTGTTTTGCCGCCAACCGATGCAGCCCGAAATTGGAACTAACAAATAAACAAACAAACAAAAAACTAATCAGAAAAACAGGCAATTAGAAAAGGTGATGGTATGGCGATTGCGCAATTGCTTGGAGCATAGGACCGTCACTACGTCGATCGATTCAATTCGATTCGATACCGATCATTTATGGCGAACGATTTTATAATACTTTGACAGAGAGTGTTCGCCCCGTTCCAACGGATTATTATCCAATTTTGGAAAGTAAACGGACTGCCAACCGCTCGTACTGTCAAATGTTCAACTAAAAATTCAAGTTCATTACCCTGTTTATGAGTTGTGAGGTTTTTTTAAAAATTAATTTCGGTTTCACCAGCAGTTTTACGTAGCTGTCGTACTCACGAGTCCAACTAATGGATAAGCCACTTTTTTGTGCTGTGACACACTTCCGTAACTTTTACTTGGGATATGTGTGTTTTTTTCATCTCGTCCGATGAAACTGAGCGTTTTGAATGAATATCTGACACATCTTAAAATTGATTTTCACAACTGAAACCGTGTGACATAAAAAACAAATCCATAATTCCTTGACTTGTTTACATTTCACATTTTGCGCCTATGCACGTGTCACTCATTGAATTTTCTTTGAGAAATCTTATTTACATCTTTTGGCATCTATCGGTCTTTGAATACGTAAGGATGAAATCGGAATGCGAAATGAATGTCGCATTTTACATAAATTTATTCAAATTTTGTAGATATGTTTCTTGTAGTTCACACAATTAATTTCGTTTCGATCCATAAAGGCTGTTACGAAAACAATACCGACTGCTATCGAAGTGATAGGCAAAAGCAGCAGCAGCAACAACAACATGGGACGGGTTACGATGGTACAATTAACCAAAAGCAGACCGTTTGTCTTCTCGCCAGCAAACATATGCAAATTCATAATGATGACAGCAATCATCTTAAACGAATATTAGCATATTTCTTTCGAAAGAAAGCCACTAGCTGTTGGCTGCCGTGATATATATAAATTCGCATTGGCAGAAATTCGTTTATCGTTCAGTTATGCGCTATTTCTTTTGATTTGCAAATTGCATTTCGCTACATTGTAGTTTTCAAATGATCACTTTCCTTTTCTTCAAATGCTTGTGCATATTTGCAACTAAATTATAACTGGACATTTGTTTTTTTTTGGGCTTGAAAAATTACCAAAAAAAATGTTGCTCGCGAGTCGATTCATTTTCTTTGCTTTCATGAATAATTTTGGCCAAAAAATCCGAATCCGTTACTATCTCCGTTCGTTTTTTTTTTGGTTTTCCACCTTTTGCTTCTTTCTTTTCGCTTCATTCATGTGCATGAGAGCTGAAACTCTAATGCATAACAGGTTAAGCGTGCGTTGAAACGACACCGCGATGCGAACGAAGCATAATAGCAAAGCATAATTCATAATCGCCAAATAAAAACCACCGAAATCATTGATACGTGTGTTACTTTCATTTGGTTCGCATAACGTTCGTGAGCCAGCGGATTTTGTATAAAAGTCTCGGGTGAACTGGATCAAAGCATCAGTCAATCTTCAGCTTTCAACAAGTTAACTCATATCAAAAATTAAACTTTGAGCTACCAACCATGAAGGTAAAAGAAGCTTATACCAAGTGAAATACTTTATTTTATTTTCGCATTCGTTTCAATCCGTGATCAAGTTGTTTTTCATTAGTGAAGTGTGCGAGTCATAGTAAATTGAAAGAGTAATACAATTTCTGTTCCCTTGTTCGGTGTTCATTTCGATAGGTCTTCGTCTGTGTAATATTTGTCGCCTACTTGGCTTCCGTCAACGCTACCTTTGGTGCCCTTTTCGGCGGTGGCGGCGGTGGCAGCAGTGGCAGCGGTTCAGGCGGTGCCACGAAAATCGTGAAAATCATCCACATCAATGAAGGAGGACACGGAGGGCACGGAGGCGGTTACTCAGGCGGCCATGGTGGTCATGGTCAAGCTGCTCCAACGATTAACTTGATTGTACCAGAAGGATTGGGTGGACACGGAGGTGGTCACGGTATGAATTTGCCTTTACGTTAACTTCACAATATAATTTTCGAAATTTATTAAATTAATTCAATACAATTCTTATAGGATACTCAGGTCCCCAGCAATTCCACGTCTCTCATGACCATCATCATCATCATGAAAGCCACGGAGCCGCTGGTCCACAAATTGTAAAGGTCATCCAAGAGGATCATGGACACGGACACGGTGGTTATGCCGCTCCGGCACCACAAGTCGTTCACATCGAATCACATGACCATGGTCACGCACACGCTGCTCCAGCTCCAGCCCCAATCATTATCCACGAAGAATCACATGGACACGGACACGGTGGTGGTTATGCTGCTCCAGCTCCAGCCCCAATCATTATCCACGAAGAATCACATGGACATGGACATGGTGGTCATGGTGGTTATGCTGCTCCAGCACCACAAGTTGTAAAGGTCATCCAAGAAGAATCACATGGATATTCAGGCGGTAATGGTGGATGGGATGGTGGTTTCTCATCAGGTGGTGCCGGCTGGAATGGTGGCTTTTCATCAGGTGGATCTGCTGGATGGAACGGTTGGGATTAAATTAATCCTTCAGAAGAGGAACAAGCCGTTTCGGCCATTGTTGTTATCCGAACCAAATGTCAAATTGACAATTGTTAGTTTTTATTAATTGGTTCAATTATTTGTGCCAGTTTCATTGTTGTTAACCATGACAAAGACTATTGTTATTTATTTTTTTAAATGAAAACACTGATGAACTTTGTTTTCCAAATAATAAATAGTTTGTTACAAATCAATCTCTTTCATTTTTATCGTCACCATCAATCTCTAGCTACAAAATCCTCTCAACTCCCATCCGAATGCAACGACTCACACATACAGAGTCCTCTATTTAGCGATACGATAACTGCTTAGCCAGTATTTGACAGTTCATACTGCCACAACAATTCAATTTCTGCCAGACGTCACAACTGTCAGTCGTGTTGTTTGATTACAATTAACAATTGATAAACTGGATTGGAAGCACAAAAAATGTCATACGATTGGTAAATTTCGTGTAGATTAATAATTTTCGAAATAACTTCACGTGTTAATTTTGATTCTTTCATTCAAAGGCTCAGCAATGCAATTGAAAAGAGAAATATTAAGCGACATGTAGCATGTAAAGAAGTATTTGACCATCCGCTAAAAGCTACGGCACCCACGGTTTGTGAAAGATAAGGAAGACGAAATGATATTTGATGCGTATTTAATGTTGAATTTTATGGATTTCAGACGGTTGAAACGCGTGGCTTGCGAAAACAAAGCAGTCAAATCAGCAGTCGAACATCGTCAGTTGTTTCATTAGACCCATTGAGTTTGGATGGTTCGGATCCATTAAGTCATTTTGCCAAAATTGACTCATTCGAAGTCGACCCACTGACAAAACTAGCCAATGAATATGTAAGTGTGATACCGCTCAGCATCCCAGACAACCATAAATATCAATTGATTATTCGTAATCGTTATTAACCACAGGGAACGACGACGGCGAACAAAAGCAAAGAAAAGCATGAGGTGGTCGAAAGTCCGCTTGAAAATCATTGGAATTCTCGCCGAGTAACAATCTTATTGAAATACACAACGGCCGAAAAGTTGACGATTGTTTCGAGTTTTTTGCATGGCGGCGAATTAGTGAAGACACAAATCACATTTTCGGAGAAAGTAAAGAATCGTCTGGAGCAATTAGATGATTTTGAAGATGGTTCAGTTCGACGCGTGAATGATTTGACACAGCAAGAGTATCAATTTCGTATTGAACAATTGAATCAGGAACTGATTCAAGCATGGAAAACGGACCAGCGGGTAAAGGCATTGAAAATTGCCATCCAGTGCACAAAAGTATTAGCCGATACATCGGTCATTTCCTTTTATCCCAGCCAATTTGTGTTGATCACAGATATCCTGGACAATTTTGGCAAATTGGTATTTGAGCGTTTGCGGACGAAAGCGGATTATTTTGAGTGAGTTTTCAATCAATCATGGCGAATTGCTTTCATTCAGTTTCTTTCTTTTACAAAATAATGCTCGGTATTTTATTCACCATGGTTTTTTTTTTTTCTCTTTGGACAGGCCAGGTACCAATGTTGCCAAACCACTCCCCGAAAACTTTACATGTGAAATGGTATCAGGTGATGTAAAAGAGACATGCCTAAATTGGTTTTACAAAATTGCGTCGATTCGCGAGCTACTCCCGCGATTATATTTGGAAATTGCCTTGATAAAATCAATGAGTTTTTTGTCGCAAAATGAATTCGATCAGACATTGCTTCGGCTGTGCCATATGATTCGTGGTATTGGTGATCCGTTAATTGCTGCCTATGTTCGTTGCTATTTGTGCCGTGTTGGGCCAACTGTCACAAAACATACAAAATACTTGGAAGAAAATCTGAATGATTTCCTATTCGTTTATCATACGGTAGTACGATAGTCAATATCACACCCAATTTGGACACAATTTAATGTGTATGTTCAATTGTAGATTCTTCTCGGTGGACTGCGAACCGATTTGGCACATCAGCGTATTACTTTGGGTGATTATCTAAATCTATATTCACCGGCTTTGGATTGGATTATGCACTGTCTTGTGGTACAATCGACGGATGCCGTCTTGGATGATTTTCTCACAAAGTGTCAAGATAAGAAGAACAAGTGAGTGTACTCAGTGTAGATTGCCATAGCAATTCATTTTTATTGACTTTTCTTTGTTCTAACCATATTGTTCTCTTTCAGTGGTCTTTTGCTACAGTCGCTATTATCATCATACAAACCGCACTTTATCGCCGTGCGTGCCAACAAGTTCGTTCATATATTGTCGAATAGCAATCATGACGGTGTGACAAGAGGGCAATTGTTTCGCTTGCTTGGCTTGAGCCTGTGCAAACAGTCCCCTCCGGAAGATCAACATTTGTCTGTGCTTAATGGAGCGTGGAAAACAATCACCACATTAACTCAAGCATCGGAGTTTATCCATTGCATTGAGCCATGGGCCGAATTTGCTAGCGCTAACTTTGGGGTGAGTGAAAAAATAACATAGTCTGAATTGTGAACAGAAACACAGTACTATCTAACGAGAGTTCACATATTTGATTTGAAAATTTTCAAGATAAAAATCGAATTTCTTTCGACAATTGGTGTAGGTAAAGGAAATCGACACTATTTTGAGCGAAGTCATTGTGCGAATGAACCAAAATCGGGCATTTGAAAAGCACTATCCCGAATTGCAGTCAATTTGCAACAGCATCATTGAAAATATCAAGGATTTGGAAGCTCTAATGACATCGGACAACTTTTTGCTCTTCATCGATTTGTTCAAGAAAGATTCAGTTCGAATGGATGTGTGCAAGGAAATACTGACCGCATACAAAGCAAATGTACCAGTGCCGCCTTATGAACAAGAGTCCAACATTAGCGATGTTGTTGTCATGAATTCACTGCTGCAAATTGCAAAGTACCTCAACGACGGAATCACGTAAGACAAGCTAAATTTCGATCAATACTTACCTTTTTTTTTTTCTTGAAAAGATGTTGAATATTTTCCGAAACTATTTTGTTCAACTAAAGTCAAATGATTCTACCTTTTTCCTCTTGTTTGGTTTCAGAGCAATGACCAGCGAAGATGAACAACGTCAAGTAACACAATTGATAAGTCATTTTGTGCGAACAATGTGTTTCGGCAGAGATTTTGAAGCTCAATTGTCATTTTATGCAGAAGCTCGAGCTACATTCCCTAATTTGGATGGTGTCTATGTCACCCTTGTACAGTGTGTCAATTTGCTGGCCAATAAAACGCGTCGCATTGTAAATGGCAAACATACGCGGAAAACCGGTGCTTTTGTAAAATCGTGTGCTGCATACTGTTTCATTACAATTCCAAGCATATCATCGGTGCGATCGCGAATGGATTTGTATTTGATGTCGGGTCAAGTGGCATTGTTGAATTTATGCATTGGTCAAGCGGATTCTTTTTTCGAAACCGCAATCAATCTTATCAAAGAGCTGCCCAGAACCTGTGAAATTGATGGCAAACCAAAATCAACTGAGAATTATCTGATTTCGTTCATATCGACTATGCTTTCGACACTCCTAGTGACACCGGTAAGGGATTTTTGACTCGTTATGAATGTTGTCGTTTCATTAAAGGTTTTTTGGTTTTTTCTTCTCCAATTACAGGATTCACCCGAACAAGGCGTACTGTATTTATTGCGCACACTTCTCGACGTAGTGGAGAAGTTGTCATTAGAACCAGAAAGTGGATGCCTTACCAGAATATATTTACTGATATTAGATGTTTTGATGGCATCAGCACGGGAAAAGTATCCATATCACATTCCAAATGTAATATCAAACGACGAATTGTACGGGTCCGATCCCAAATTTATCAATGAAGTGCATACGATGTGCTCACAAATTATCGAATCAATTTTGATCCAATTGAAACTGCTCGGCAGCAGCAACAATTTGAGAGCACAGTGCCAATACGCACTGGATTTGTTTTTGAAATTGGCACTGCATGCAAATATTGCCGTTGAACGGACATTCACTCTAACGCTCAATCTATGGAATTTAGCCATGAAAAATCGGAAATTCATCGATGCCAAAGTGCCCGGCAGAATTTTGATGAAAATCGAAAATTACATGAAACCCATCGGTGATCAACAGCTGCGACACGCATTCGAACAGCTCACTTCGAAAATGAAAGTCAAAATGTAAAACGAAGCAATTTGTTAAGAAAAACATATTAAAATGATATATGTATCGTGTATCCTTTGAATTGATATTACAGAAACATTTATTCGTATTAAAAAACGTATTTTCATTCTCCATTTGACTTTTTTATGATTTAAAAAAATGAAAACTCACAAATATTTCTTTTGAATAATTTTTTTTTTGACGATCAGTTTTGTTGAGTTCGTGTTTTTTTAGTCACTTTATTTGAAACGTCCCACTGAATCACTGAATCTAAGTTTGACGAGGTATTTGATTTTTACCTGTTGATTGTTGTATACCACGAATTCATTGTAATCGACACAAGACTGAATGGTATCATCCTTTTTTATCTCACCACACGCAAAGATTGCACCATCGATCAATTCACTGGATTGTAGGGAATACTTTCCCACACCGTGAACCGAATTTTTACCATACGGAAGTTCGTCGATATTTTCGGGATCAAAACACTTCATTGAATCACCGAGTGCAACTTCACACAGTAAAACTATGCCAGTATTATTACTCTGGCTAGCATAGCAGTACTTTGCAGAATTGCCCACTACATCTGAAAAATAAAGTCCTTTGCCAAACATACAACCGATAACAATAGCTTCGGGAGGTGCTATTTTTAGACTATGTGCAAGAATTAAATTGACATTCGTGATTTTAGTACCATGCCAAAGCAGTTTCCGGTTTGTTAGTCCGTTGAAAATGTTACATTTATTCTCCCCTTTACGTTGAACCTTGAAAATTTCTTCAACTTCAAAATCATAGTCCAAATTGGTGTTATCAACCGAACCTTTTATAATTTTGAATTGTTCAGAATTGATATCGAGCGGCTCAATGATGGCATTTAGTTTAAAATAAAAATCGTCTAAAATATTTTTACCACTTTCTCCAGTTTTGTATAGAAATTCATATGACAATTGAATTCCTTGGAGATCTTGGAGCATTTCTGCTTTGTTCGCAAGATCGTCTCTGGTAACCAATGCATCTTTACTGCACGCTTTATGTGGTATTATTGAGTAGAAGCGGTTTGATGCTTCTACTAATGACGCATGCGATTCGTTATTCATTATTTTTCGTTCAATTTCGTGTAATATTTTAAAGGCATTTACAATTTGTACGCGTTTCACTTTACCCAGTGGCATTTTGTTCATATCGAGGCAAAATTTCACCATCACAGCACTCATCATATCTTCGTTAATCAACAGTTTTAATAGATCTTGAACTGAACTATCCAACGTGGTACTTTCTACTATTTTATACACTTTTTCGTTCGGTTTGCTCGAACTTGGTTGATAATACATTCCAGCCCGCTTTTCGAAATATTTAGTACCGAAATTATTCCAAGTTTTCTTTCGATATAATTTACAGAAACAGGTGATAGCTTCATCCAATGTACTGTATTCATCACATTTATCGTCTCCAATATTCTCGTTTATCCGGCCCCATGCTCGATAAATCCAGTATCTACTTGAAAATAGAAAGCAGAACATATTACATTTTTAATAGTTTATCAATTGAATCTTTAGTTCGCTTGCTTTTTCGGATCTGCATCTGACTCCAACAATTGAAGTTTATAATAAGAATTCTGATCTTTATGGACGCTCAATTCAACTTTGTCCAGCGCTACTGAATAGGGTTTTTCATCTGTGATGTAAACGTGAGCAATATTTTGCAAGCGAGAGCCTGGATCGACGATAGCTCCATCTAAGCCAAATATCGAAACATTTTAATTAAAACTCATGTCAAGAATTAAGAATTGGATCAATTTATACCTTTCACCACCATTTCTCTGAACTTCGGCTTTCGGGTAGTCGTCAGTGAAGCTCGCTTCGGAGTCAATGCTTGTTTAGCCTTTGAAGATTTTGGGTTATCCTTAATCGCGCGGCTTTCCGCTTTGAATTCTTTATGTAAAAATGGGTATGCTTCTGATATTTCAGGAGGGATTTTTACGGGACGCCTTTCTGGCTCTTTGATTTCGTTATTACAATCGCCAAATCCCGATAATTGTCCAGTGCAACGATAAGTGGTATTTCCATCGAATTCAAAATTTCCATTTTTACATTCCTTAACTTTGCAAGGAACGATTGCACCGAAAAAAAGAACATCCGTAACGTGATCCAAAAGCTATGGAAAAGGAATCTTTTAGTGATTTGTACGAAATTATTTCTTGATGAATTCATTTTACTTGTGCATTGTCCCGGGGTACTGACTGTGCATTGTATCTTAAAATACTTTTTCGGCTGTCTTTGTCGACATTCTCTTTTATTTTTTCACGAAGATCATGAAATTCCTCATTTTGATTTCGGATCACTGTGTCTAGCTTGTTGTCCTGCGAATTGGGCTTAATTTTTTTGGATGGCGGTTCATGGTCTCCATTATCACTGTGTTCGCTGGACACAGCAGATACATTGGAATTTTTCACACGCTTTTTGATACTTTTTTTTGCGCAATCTAAATGAATAACCAATAAAATCAAGGAAAGCAACAGAAAAAAATGTCAATTTACGATTTACCTATAAGTTTTACCAACACTTCTTGATCATTGTGACGCAGTTTTGCAAATCCATCAATATTAAATTGTGATCGAGGGCGATATTTTTTGAAGAAGCAGCATGGATGATAACATTTTCGTTCACGGCCGTCAAATTTACGTGACTGTTTCAATCAAAAGTAAAACAATAAAACTAATTTTCATTCTAACCAAATTCCCAAAAATAATCATGTGATGTCTTGCAATGTATGCACTCGAAGCACATGCAGACGATAAAATATTTCAATTCAAATATAACCTTTTGTAAATACACCAGACGTAACACATCTTTTTTTATTCCAATTTTGCACCCTTTGCATATAGAATTTTTACTTTTTGTATATTCAGCTTTGTATAACAATTTCCTTTTCATCGTGCTATTTGGTTGATGGCTTGAAAACTCAAAATAAAATTCCAACAAGTGATCTACAGGTGAATCAACTTCAGTGCCCTGCACTCAATGCACTTTTTAAATGCTGCACACAATGAAATTCCCCTTACTTCACACACACGCACTCATACTAATGTATCGTCCAATGCTGACCACACCAATTCCAGAATATTCTAGAAAACGTTCCAAAAATGACTAACAAATACAACTAAAAGTTTAATGTCACCATATTTGCTTTCAAATAAACAGAAAATAAACAAAGGACAAAGTGTTCGTCTAATAGTTTTCCCGCCATTTGTTACGAAAATTACACTTTGATTTGACGTCAAAGCGAAGAATTGAAACATTCAACAATGGCAAAGCTTTGATATCTTTAGTGGCGGCGCTGCGGTCGTAAAAGAGAATGAAGAATTCGACATTTAAAATATTTTTTTTCCGTCTTGCACACTCAAAAATGTATTTTTTCTTTAAAACAAATAAAAATCAATATAAACTTTTGTAAAAATGTAAATAAAATAGCTCAATTTTTATTCAATAAGAAACAATATAGAAAAAAAATATAGTTAAATTTTATGACCCGCAGTATAAAATTATATGAGTGAAAAGCGGTGTATATCAACAAGTATATACCGGCTAATTGAATTTAAGTCTGATTAGGTATTTAATTTTGACTTGAGCTTCATTGTAAATCACAAACTCATTAAAATTCAGTATTGATTTGATATTTTCATCTTAAATTGGTTTTCCCCATGGTACGATTACCCCATCCAAAAATGTGCTTGATTGTGTAGAAAATTTGCCCACACAGCAACATCAATCCAATGTTGTTTGTTTGATGCGCATAACAGTATCCTGCTGACTTTTCGAACACATCTACAAAATAAAGCCCTTTTCCGAAGCTACAACCAATGGCACTCGCTTCTGGTGGAGCGATCTTCAAGCCTTGAGATAAAATGCTGGCAACATTTATGATACGGCTACCGTGCCAAAGAAGTGTTCTATTTGGCAGATTTTCGTAGGGTTCATAATACTGTTCATCACAACGTGAAATTTTGAAAATTTCAACAATTTCCAAATCACAAGTCATTTGAGTTTCGTTCGCATATGTCGTAATTATGTCAAATTCATAAGAGTCTTTATCAAGAGATTCGATGTCTACGTTTAAATCATTATAAAAATCATCTAGAATGTTCTCAGCCTTTTCTCCAGTCTCTTTGTGTAGTAATTTATATGTGAATTGCAAATCCTTAAGGCTCTTCAACATCTCTGCCTTTTCTTTAAGTTTCTCTTTGCCATCGATCACATCATCAGCGGTCACACTGTGCGGAATCAGCGAATAAAATCGATTTGACGCTTCTACAAGTTGTTCTTGTGATTCACGCTGAATGATTTTCCCTTTGATTGCCTTCAACACAAAATTCGCTTGACGAATTTCTATTTGACCAATTTTAGCCAGTGGTGTTTTGGTCGTATCCAATCGAAAAACAATCATTAGATTGTTCATCATATCCTCATCGACCAACAGTTTCAACAGATCTTCAACCGGCTTTGATAAATTATTGCTTTGGGTCAATTCAGCCTTTTTAACCGCTTCGTCCGATGTCGTCAATCGATGGTACTTTCCGGGATACTTGATGAAATGCGTCGCAGTGAATTCATTGTTGGTTTTCTCTTTGTAGATCTTGTGAAACTGTTCGATTGCTTCTTTCACATCGTAATAGTCGGAAGTAGAAGTTTTACCAATTATTGTGCCGGTGCGACCCCACGAACGAAATATCCAATATCTGTAGAGGCGAAGGAAACATATTTTTTAAAATTATTTTCAACTACTTCAAACGCTACTCAAATGTGTTGATTTACTTTCGTGGATTTTCATCGTCTGATTCCAATAACTGAATCCTGTATTGGGAATTCTTATCAACATCAGCACTCAAATCGATTTTCACCAGAACAGCGGAGTATATCAACTCATTTGCAACATACACATGAGCAATGTGTTCCATATTTGATTGCGAGTCTACGGACGTTCCATCTTAATGGAGAATAAAATTGAACAAACAAGTGATACAAACTGAACCCTAGGGGGTAGGAACACAAGCGCTTGAGACGAATTCGTACAATATTCATGAATTCTTGTGATTGTGTATACGAGATATTCACAGCGCAGTGAGTTTACAACAACAATAACAAAGCCACGAACGCATGAATATATGTGAATACATACGAATGACACAACTTGTTCCTAGCCCCTAGACTGAACCATTATTATAATTTCAATACATACCTTTGATTGTAGTCGAACGAAAGCGACCGAAAAATTTGAAGTTGCTCGTTTCAGTTTTGTATAATGATTTGGTATCAACTCCTTTGAATGGAGTTGGTATTTTCAATACCCGATGATGCACTTTGAATTCCACATTTAGAAATGCACAGTTCTCATCGCTTCGGATTTCTTCGCGTATTCGACCCGGCCCGTCTTGGTGGTTCGGTCATTGTGTTGTAACACTTTCCAAACTCGGATATGTACCCTCTACAACGATATGTTGAATTGCCGTCAAATTCAAATTTTCCATTCCGACAGCTCTTTCGTTGACAACGCTCAATTGCTCCAAAGTAAATGATGTCGGTAACATGATCGAACATCTTTGAAAAAACAGTTAGATTATTTGAAAAGAAATGAAGTGTGTGAAAAATTTACCTGGCTTGTATCGCTTGGAATTTCCTGATCATCGTCCTCCAAGATTTTAATTTGCCAAAATTTATCGAGATTATTTTCTATTTTCGTTCGCAGCTCATGGAACTCAGCACTTTGCTGTTTAGTCAATCCGTCTTGTCTAATTGTCTCTGGGTCTTGTTTAATCTTTTTTGTTGACAATTCGGGGCGATCATCGGTTTCATCCCCGGAATCTGCATCATGTTTCCGCTTTCGATTATTTTCTTTAAATCAAAAAAGAATCATTTTGAATCATTATTGAGTAGTGCGCAAACCAAATATAATATTTACCCATATAATGTCGCAATGTTTCTTGATCCCCATATCGAAGCCTAGCAAATCCATCAATAGCGAATTCCGACTCAGGGTTGTATGTTTTGAAGAAACATTCTGTGTGATGCCATCAATATTCATCGCCGTCAAAATGATATGACTGCGGAAATGAAAAAAAAATCACTATTTATCGTCAATATGACATGACATCTCCAATAAAATACAAACCTTTAGAACTCGTGCTAAACGCAGTTCACCCTTTTCAATTTTTCCTGAACAATTTTTGTCTTTGCATGTTCCTCTATTACTTTTTGCATATTCTGCTTTGTATCGTCGTTTTTTATTCATATTTTGATGTCTTTGATTCGATTTAATTATGACGACGCATGTATCGAGTCGATACTATCGACACAACGAATTTTTCAAAACATTTATTTTTTGTATTATACTTTTTAAATGACGAACTTTTGTATTAAAATCGAGATTCAAATAAAATTTGTAAACGCACGTTTCGTTCGCTGAAATTCAAGTCAATCAAGCTTTTTTATTGTTTATATACGAAATTGTTGCTTGTTAATCATCAAACACAATGCGGCTTATACTACTGACAGATTTGATGCTCACATTCACATGTTGTGAAGTTTTTCACGTTCACATGTGTTCTCACATATGATTTCTTTTACTAGCGCCAGGGCCCTCTGTGTGCTCACGTTAGAAACGAAAATCGGTTGCTTTCCCATAAACATTGAAAACGTTCATACAAAAAAATTTGATCACGGTTATTCTACAATGTAACACTGACAATGTCCACCTCAATGATTATTTCAAAACCAATTGATGATTGTTTAACTCAAGTTACTTGAAATAAGTAATTATTCAAGTATGAAGGTGGGGCAATTAAAGTAAATTAATAATTCTTATATTATAAGAATGCGGCGGCGTGCAAAGTACGAAGCAAATGAGGCAAATGCCTAGGGCGACATTTCGAGAGGGGCGAAAAATTCGCAAATTTGTTGGGTCAACAATTTTTGGGAGATATTATCAGCGCCAAAGGCGCTCGACCGCCATATGTTTTTTTTTCAAGTTATTTAAAATAAACTCGAAACTACTCAAAACACTCAGTAGACGTTGACAGTTCTTCGACAGTATACACATTACACTGAACCAAATGGCACCGAATAGCACTGAGTAGATTGTAGTATCGGTGAGTGTTTGTCGAGTATGCATTCGTGTCTAACCCTTTGTTTTGGTGCTCGGGCATTTCGGCGCTCTTCTTCAATTTGAATCATAAATAACTAAAAAAAGTTTCATGTTTGCGTAGGGTTTACAAACGTTTCGACAAATACCGCAAACGGTGTTATAAAAACGTTATTTTTCTGTAGTGTTTTTTTTAACAGTCCAAAATACCCGATAAAAAACGAAAAAAACGATTTTTGGGCGTTATATAACGGCTCTGTAAAAAAACGTTTTTAGGAAACACTGAAAAAAATAACGCGCTTTTAAACCCTATATAAATGAAATCGGAAAAGAAATATATTCAATATGCCAAATTGAAAAATAGTATTCAAGAATAGAAAACTACAAAAGAATTCCGCTCACTTCGCTCGCGTTACTATTATGTTTTCATTTTCATACTTATGTTTCCATGGCTTGAAGATTCTTGTGATTACGAACGCTTAATATGTCTTGAGTATGGTAGTGACATAAATAGCATTACAGTTCCTTTTCTTGGACAACACCAAAAAAAGTCACTGCCGTTATGCAGTAATTTTGGTAAAGAACTTTTGCTTAAAAATGTAAATGGTGATATTTTGAAAATTTGCCCCAGGTGACAGGATTACTTTGCACGCCGCCGTATGAATGGTTTGGAGCGAAAATGTAATACAGAAAAGTTGAGCGGAAAAATGTCAAATGAAAAGGGATAGCTATAAGCAAATCTCGTTTTTTAAGCTCATCAATTGTTCATTAGCGTTGTGCCCATTCGAGCGGCAAGTGTAAAGTGAGTGAAAAAGACTGCCAAAGTAAATCTACGATCTTTTAGATCAAATGAGCAAAGACAATGGTTTCATCGGTTATACAGTACAGGAGACATCTGGATCAAATTCTGGAGATGAATTCACAAGCAAAATATTAGGCATACAATTTCGGGAAAAAACAGCGAAAAGCAATTGCATCTGGTGTGTAAACTGGCTCTGCTTGGTAAAGTTCACCCAGAACAATTCAAATCAGTTATTTTATTCGATCGGGTGGCTAATTTTTACAACAAAGTATTGTTGTAAGACTTGAAGATGGTAACTTTTCAACAACAAACACAATTTACACTTCTCGTATGATAAATTCTATTCGAACACGTTTCGGCAGTCATAATATCTGTTAACCGCAGTGGTTAAACCGCTTAAATGTGTAAGTATTCTCAATTCAAGTTCAGTTGGTATTCAGCACTCGGAACAACCAGTTGATACGCTACAAGACTTATCAATCAAAAGTAGTGAACAAGTTCATATTCACCAGTGTAGATGTGTAAGAATACCAGATATTCATTGAAAGAGAAAAGAATCGTTTGAGTGAATTAGATACAATGCAAATTTTGCATTACTCAACTAGCTCGTGAATAAGTGTTTCAATCCAATTCGATATCAATTTCAGCGAAGATGAGAATGAAAAAAATGATGTCCCATCTCTCCCAAATTTCAATACAAGTTAAAACTGAAATGACTGTTCTTCTCGTTTTTTTTTGCTTTTTATTTAAAGTTTCAATACTTCAAAACTAATCCATTGTTGATAATATTCAATTTATTATCAGTGCTATCCAATCACATATATGTGAGTTGATTTTGAAAATGTTAACATTAAATGAGGCGCTGAGATATGTAAGACGCTAAATAAGCTACAGTTGATGTGTGTACGGTGTAGTGTTGATAAAATTTCACGATGATACTTTGACCCGATAACATTATCTGGTGCATCCCAACTTTACTAGTTGGTCGTGATGACATAATTCTGTTGATGATACGACATTCTCAAACGAATCTCATATTTTGTGTTTGTTTTGAGTTGAATGCCCGATGGGAAAATAATATAGATAGCCGTAGAATGAATCAAGAGTTGCACGTCCACTCAATACTGTATTTTTATTGCCATTCAATGTTGACTGATTCAACCTATTTCTCCGTAATGTGTTGCGATATTTCTTTATCTGAATTTCGAATGTATATTTTCGGAATGTCAATCTGCTCGAGGCACACCTTTTATGACCAAAATGTGGTTGAACCAATTGGCGACTTTAATCATCATTATTGTTTTGCTGTGACGCTCTCAATTATTCGACACACCGGTGAACTTTTGTTTCTTTTATGAAACAATTTAATGCTCTGATGATTTGATCTCGTCATTGTGTTGCCAACTTATCGCCATTGATGAATTCATTAGTAAAATTTAGTAACACTTGAATATTTCAGTCGAACGTTTGCATATCGGTAATAATTATTTAAATAGACATCAGAAACTTAAACGCCATCAACTACCATTTTCTAAATGTTTTAATTAAGAAAGTGTATACAAATGCACGATTTAAAGCTTGATTTGTAAAAATCATGTATAATCTGTTCTTAATGAAATTGTTGTTTGATCTCAAATAACACGTTTAAAAAAGACAAAAGTATAAAAAATCTGGTCTAAATTTGATTGAAAAACATCGATTACCATAGACATTGAATCTTGGCTGTGTCCAGTTAAAAAAAAACAAATACCGTAGATACTGCGCCTTGGAAATTCGACACATTGTGTGTGTGAAATTCAAAGGCAATATAATTTAAAGCCCAATATGTAATTTATGACAACAATTATTCGATGGTTTTATTAAATTATTAATCTTCGAACCATTCCATCGGCTGTTTCATCAACAATTTAATAAGTTCTATTTAAAGTTTTTTTCTTCGTAAGCGAACATATGTGCTAAAGAATTGCAAATACAATGTGAATTGTATCATTCTTACTAGCTATAAGTACAGAATGTGGTTGACCTTGCAACTACGCTCACCAATCGTTCAGTTGTATGATACAATTGTTGATAGTATAGTTCAAAGCAGCGTGAAGTAATCGACTAAAGTATTAAGATCGTATTTTTGCAGAGACCAATAAATTTTAATAATTTTTGCTACTTCGATTTCGTATTGTACGTCAAATTAATTTAATTTATTGTTTTTCCCGTCGTGAATTCAGATATGCGAGCTCAAAATGTTTGAACTGTTATGTAAATTAATGCCAATTTTATTATTGCTTATATTGACTGTACACTGTGATCCGCCTACCGTAAAACAAACGAACAATGGACCTGTCGAAGGCATAGAACAAACAAGCTTCTTTGGCAAGAAATATTATTCGTTTCGAGCAGTTCCATATGCCGAAGTTCCAATAACTGGAAACGACCCTTATACTGGCGAAACGATTGACCGGAGATTCAAGGTAAGCAATGGAAGCGAGCAAATAAATGTGAAAATAAAATTTTTAAAAGAAACTCAATTCAATCGATTGAAAATTGAAGCTACCTCAACCACTCGTGCGACAATGGATTGAACCGCTGAAGGTGCAAAACTTCGGAAATGCATGCATCACATCAACGAATTTCTTGCCAAAATCGGTAAACACAAGCGAAAATTGTCTCTTCGTTAACATTTATGTTCCAGGTGAGTTTTATTACATTTTTTCAGAATTTTTCGATATTTAATGCTTTTAAAATTGAGTGTTTTATTAAATGCTTGTGTTTGCTTCCTTCGAAAGCTGGTGGTGTAGAGAAGAAGACTGTTCTGGCATATATTCACGGTGGTGCTTTTACCGAGGGAACATCGACCGATTTTCTTTACGGGCCAGACTTCCTCATCGATGCTGACAATATTTTGGTCACATTCAATTATCGCGTGGGCATTTTTGGCTTTATGAATCTTGGCTTTGGTGAATACACCGGCAACATGGGTTTGAAAGATCAGCAATTGGCTTTGAAATGGATTTATGAGAATATTGAACATTTCTCGGGGAATAAGGACGAGGTTTTGCTGTTTGGAGAGAGTGCAGGTAAGGGTTGTGTTTCGAAAAAGCTATAAATTTCGCAGCAAAGTGGTGATATTAACATCATGTTCATGATTTGTGTTCTAATAGGTGGTGCTTCCGTCAATTATCAAATGCTCAATGAAGAGTCACGAAAATATTTCAACCGGGCGTTTGCACTCAGTAGCTCTTCCTTGAACTATTATGCATTATATGAACCGAATCACTTGGAGAGAATGCAAAAATTTTCGAAGATTCGAGACAAACAGCAGTTGGTCGAGTATTTGAAGACGGCAGACAGTATGGAACTTGCTAAAATACAAACAACCAATGATTTGGGACAAATTTTAATTGAAGCAGCATGGGTTCCAACGATCGAAAGTCCTGAAACCAAAGGAGCATTCATAACTAAAAAGCCTAAAGAAATTTACAAGTCGGATAAGGCACCCGTCATGGATGTCATGTTCAGTTTTACTTCTCAGGTATTTAAAATAAATGAAGATTAGAGGAATCGAATTGCGCACATTGTTCAACTGGAAATATTATTTTCTTTGGTTCAATTAGGAATATATAACTTTCAATCCAGATTTAACTACAAGCAATGAACCGATTCTTAGTGGAGACTGGAAAGATTCAAAGATGTTGCTGCCATTCCGGGGATTTGATAAAGATACTTTTCCAGAGGTAATTCCAATTGATTCGACTAACGAGAAATGTCTCACCATATTTTTTTAGTTCATAAAAATTGAACGTATCAACAGATATTCATTAGTAAAGACTCTCATTCTTACTCTGTTCAGGAATATAAGCATGCGATTGATGTTTTGAAAGATGCCTATTTCAATGGCACAACCAATATTGATACAATTAAACGTGGAAATATTGGTTTACTCTCAGATTCAAACTTCGACTATGGTATTCTCAAAGCTGCCCGATATCAAGTGATAGCAAATAACAAGGGAACACCCAAAAATACGTTCTTACAGAGGTGTGAATGCCAATATGTATTCAAAATCATTCTTTTTATTGCTTCTTTATAACGTATTTTTACTAGATTTTGCGTAAATGCCGACATCAGTATGTTCAAGAACCTGTTTCACTTGAATAAAGATGGAGCAGCTCATGGGGAGGATGTTTGTTTTATATTCCGGTATTGAAAATCCAATAACCGCTGTCATCACTTTTGTATTACATTCGAGTGCACCTATCTTGATCATTTGTTTTCTCTTGTAAATTTCAGTTGTGGTGCGTTGGATAGTCGAAAAGTATACGAAAATGCATTAAAAGTCAGAGACGATTCAAATGTGAATTATAGGACGATCAAGCGCATGGTCAATATAATCACTAATTTTGCTCGAACTGGGTGAGTGTGAAGAGATTTTATTTTCATTGTTATTCCTTTTTGTATTCTTATCGAATTCGTTATATTCTATTGCGTTCAATTCTTAGCAATCCATCGGTGGAAGGTGATACTCCATTCAAGTCATTATCATCACCAGACGAAATGTTCAGCCAAGACATCACAAACGATCCAAACAGCAGCTTAGTAGCCAATTTAATGGAACAAACTCATTTCGATTCATGGCACCAGATTGATGACACCCATCAAAAACTGAATTCTGGAGGCATTTTAGGATTTTGTAATGCCTCCTCTTGTGATGACTACAAAAATTAAGAGAACGAAAACAATTTCAAACAAAATATGACATTACAATACGATATCCAGCCAATTTTTTTCTCCGATTAATGCATCTACATCTTTATTTGAAAACTACTTTCAATATTGTTCGATACGATGATCAGAAACCGCCAAACATAATTTGGCCATGAACAATACATTTTCTTTGTTCGCTTCTGTGAAATTAAAGTCCAATCTATATCTACCGCTAGGAATTAATTGCTCGAATGGAAAATTGTCCCCGTGTGGAAAATTTTTGACTGTCTAGTCAATCGATTAATTTGGGACATTTTGACTGACTAAAAGTGATTGTCTCGAACAAAATAAGCAACTGCAGTTAACTTTAATCACAAATCAAACTTAGTCAAAATGTCCCAAATTAGTCGGCTGACTGGGAATGAAGTTGTTCGATTACTTCAATTGATGGTAAATCGGCATCTAAAACGAACACTGGTGCAGGCAGAGTATGCTGTTGATTAATGAAAATGTCTTCATGCAGCTCGTGAAGAAGTTGCAAATATTCCAGCGAAATGTTGGTTTCTTCATTACGTGCACGGCTGTGGATTAGATGAATATTCAATCTTGGCAAATTTGCCGAAATGTCTTCGGGTAGGGCGATTTCAATTGTAGATTTTATGTAGTTTAATGTAGTGTTTTTACTTTTTTTATGTAGGAACAATTTTTTTGAGTAATCGGCTATCGAAAAACCGCTCCAAAATGGGGATACTCAAATCTTGGCCAAAAAACGAATTTTCCATGAATCAAATGTTTTTTCGAATGGAGAATGGTTTCAAAAAATTGTAGATAAATTGTAGAATTTAAATCAATTGTCTGTTTTCAAATATGTCTGCCCGTTCGTTCGATATCGGGACGAGTCATGAAAATTGGTCCAAAATCGGTAATACTCAAATCTTGGCCCCAAATCGAACTTTCCACAAACTAAATCTTTTTTCTATTGTTTCTAGAGTCCATAAAATTGTAGAAAAAATGTAGAACTCAAATCAATCGTCCGATTCTTGATATTTTCAACAACTTATTTGACAACAGGAGTGTTTTGTTTTTGTAGGGAGAAAAAATGCGCCAAAACTGGTCCAAACTGTTTCATCAATTGTAGTAACCCAGAATTAATTGTAGTGGCCTAAAAATAATTGTAGAACCACCTACGGTTATTGTAGTG